CATCACGAATCTCCGACTATAAAAGATGGCAAAATTCCACTAAATATATATAAGTGGTACGCCAAAGTTTACATTCGACTTCCGTGGAACTGTGTACTTGGAAGAACAAGATCATACAAGTGACGGTGGTTGGGGCCCAGAACTCTTACTGGAAATCTCACATCATCCTGGTCAATGTTGTAGAAGTTTCGGGCCTTGATGCGATCCTTCCAAATTCTTGCCGTCGACTTTACTTCATATCAATAGATAGTGATATAATAGCAGTAAAACAACACTCGCTATAGTCAACTTTCTTATCCTTAACGATAACAGTAATCACTGCTGTCACCGCACGCCACGATTTTCCGACACTTCTAGCTTGGTTACCAGAATCGCAGTCTACATTACCCAATCTTTGAACACGTCATATTATATCTCTTTGGTTTGTCCATATACTCGAATCTCCCTAGGACTTTCTTCAGGCACGCGCAACTTTGCTTTGGAGGTCGCAGCATTGTCCTTCAAAAATCTCTTATAGCTAGCCCATTGAACTTCCTCTCGCATTTTTACCTTTTTCACCTCAACTTTCAAGCCGATCCATCAATATCTCTCTTGATCTACCCTTTGGTCGTCTTACCTGTTTTGACAACAAAGTCCCATCCACAATCTATAAAGCCTGCTAGGTTCCTGATCGAGTTTCTATAACTTTTGGACACACTCATTTTTGAAGAGCAATGGAAGAGAGTATTCTTCACAGAAAATTTCATTTTAAACAAGTGCTATGATCGACAATAGTCTTGATATCAATTCAATGTCCCAGGCTTCCTGACTAGGTCAGTAGCTTTGCGATTACCATCCAAACTGCACAAATCCACACAATGACGATGATAAACTCATAATATCAACAACAACAATAATTGCATCTCCTCAAATGTCAAATAATTTGCCTTGCTCTGGAATAAAACAGACACGAAATTGTATCATTCTGATTACTTCTGTGCTCGACCTTAGACATCTCTTCTACCAGATCACCACACCTCGAGTCCATAGCAATAGATAGGGATGTCATCTAGCTAATGATGGAGCCAGATTGAATTTATAGCCATCACCAGGGTGACACGAACAAGTATTCACCCCCTTCCCCCACATTCCCTTCATCAAACTCAAATTTCCGGACCCATCTGCATCTATAAAGACGGCCAGTCCATCGGACTCCAAGTCTTTGAATATAGAAGATGTAAGGATGATATCCAGGTGTTACGAACCAACTTTTAATACGACCTGATGCAGTTTATGAGACCACGAAAACAAGTTGAATATCTGCGTACACTTCTCAGCTTCTATGCGGATTATTGTTGCCATATAATAAGACCATTATGCATTTAAAAGCTTTCATAAAGTGGAAGTGGCTAACCATGGAAAATAACACTCGCCTATCATCAGATAACGACAATGATAAATGTTCACTCGCATGTCATGCTTGCATAGCCGATATCCCAAACCCATTTATCAAACCTCAAATCAACATCAAAGACAATTCATTTTCTTCGTTCAGCCTCCAGTCTACAGCAAGATGGCTTTTAGGTACTCGCTAGATTCCAGCTCCGGTGGAAAGTACCAATCTACAGAGAAAAAGACAGGATTCACATCGAGCTCTTTTATAACGACTTAATACCCTCCTTCCCATCTCCTATTTCCACTTCCTCCTTCCACCGCCATACCTCCTTTCCCCTCCTAGTTCTCAGACCAACCATTCTTCTCCACCAACTTCTATTTCCATCTCCGTCTTTACATCCAGCTATAAAGTCCATCAGTCGCTCCATAAGAACTGAGTAAATTACCGAAAAATGTTCAGCATCATTAATATGCTAGGTTCCAAACTTCCAGTGCCCCCCATGCCAGAGCCTAGCAGTTTCCAAGAATCGAGAGACTGAAACCCCTCCATAACTTCCATTCTGGTATTCAAGGCCTCAAGCTTTATTGTTGTCGAACAAATGATATAGGTCCCTACAGAGTATAAAATGACGAGAAAAAAATTGAAAAAGACAATACTCGCACCGTCATATATAGCCCAAAATGAACAATGACAATAAAAAATACCGTCCCATGTACTCGAAATCTCAACTATTACCCCCACCTGAGCCCCCAAAGCAAGAAGCGCGTCTATCCTCACCTGAAACATGCACAAGATCGAAATAATCAACAATATGTCGCCTTCTGCTCCCACACTAACTTTATGTACCTCCACCTACAGTTTCTCCAAGACAGTTACTTCCTTGATACCATTCATTCACCATTACAAAATGAAAGGCTAAACCTGTAGCATTCACTACTCCTACCCATCCACACTCCTCTCTCGCTTATTTAAAATCTCAACTTCACATCTCAATTAGGCCTCCCGTTTCCCGTCTATCTCATACTCCGTTCTTCCAAATTTCTATATTGGCACAAGTCCACCCCGATGTCAGGGCCCCACTCCCGAACTCTATGATTATCATGCTCGCACCCCAACGAAGTCATGATATATTACATCAATAAGCCCAGGATCCAGACTTACAGTCAAGCAATGGGCCAAACAGTTGACTCAATATCAATCATACCTGTACCGACGACAATTCATCTAACTCTCCTATCTCGCTTCACCATTACTTTATCAAGACCTAAAGAGGTGCTGGGCTTTTGGCAAGACACATCTTTCCCGTTCATCTTACAAGCAAAAAAGAAATAAAATTATGATGGAAAGAGAAATTTAATTCTAGGTTCAGTCGTGTCTCGTTCTAGCTTATTACAGGTATATTGTCTCTCCTTCCCTCCCATTAACCACCTCCTAATTGTCTCCAAACACAACACCAAGTAGAAAGAGCAAGGAATAGTACAAATTCATCTCCAAAACCTCTCCATCTACCGAATGCCAGTAAACTTCCCTCGTGAAGCTATTTAGTCCCTGGGATGGCTCTGAAGACAGGATTTTTTCCCTCCTCAGGAGGAGAATCGTGAGTATGTTCGCCACCAATACATGGCAACCTATACTTTTCTTCCCACTGTTTTCTCAACACTTCATACAAGAAAATATATTGCTCCACAGCTTGTACCATAGTCTTCCTTTGTTGGCGCAATTGATCGACCGTCTCAAAGATGGCATCGTTACCTTTCTCTTCTGACTGATCCCACCCTTCCCAAGCTCCACCTTGAAGTTCTCCCATCAAAAACTCTAAAGCAACGAAAGTACCGGTTCTTCCAACACCAGCACTGCAATGTACAACTCTTGGATTCTCTTCTTCTACATTCTTCGCTCGAGAAAGATCCATTAATGTCAAAACGCTTTTGACATTTTGACTGTTCAACGAACCCATGTCAGGCCAAAGAGGGTAGAAGAAATGCCAGATAATTTTCTCTTCGTCTTCATTCTCTACAGACATGGCGAGTTTACGAACCTCGATACCAGTACCCTCAATATTCTCTTCTCTCTTCACGAATCGAACCTTGGCCTTGAAGTTTTCTCCAAGCGCTCCCGTTTCGTTAACAATAAGAGGTGGATCCTCTTCACTCATAGGATAGTATTGATAACATTTCTCCATCATCTCGTCAGGCTTAGCAGGATTAGGTCCAACAAGAGGACTAAGCATGATGATGACACCAGGTGCTGCATTGTCTGGTACTGAGATTGAATGCCACATCATATGCCAGGTATGGTCGACAGTTTGAGACTTCGGACCTTGCATACAAATGTACTTATCTTGAAGACCTTTCTTCATCGTACTTTGTTTCTCTGCAGTAGAAGTCAAAGTTACAGGGGATGCGTTGATGTAATCGTTATAGCCTTCGGGAACGATGAGTCTGATACGGTTGGCAGCCCATGGATGTACATTGGCATAACGATCGAGTTCACGATCCGGTTCTTCTCTCGCCCACTTGGGATCATCTTTGCTAGCCAAACGATCTTCTTCTGCTTTCGTCAATAGGGCATATTTTTCCTTCATTTCTAGAATTAAGTCAGTGTATGTTTTCTGAAGTAGTGTTGAGTGAGTTGCATACCATCGTGTGAGATCTTCAAAAATGATGGCATTGCTGTCTTTGGGTCGCTTGCTGCAGCAAGTCCTGCTTCGACTACTTGTACGGCACGTTCATCCTCATCATCTGCTGCCTTGCTAGAAGAGCATCCATCTCCTTGAGGCATAAAAGCACCATCATGGTGATCAAGCAGACTCTCCTTAGACATATTGATAGCAGAGTCTCGTTTTGATGAACAGGGGTGAACCATTCTGAAGAAAAACTTGCGGCTTATGGTATCGTTTGGATTTTTTTGACGCGAAGAAGAAATGATTGTTGAGGCACTCGATGATTTAGAACGGAAGGAACGTATACGATTTTGAATGGAAATAGTGACACCTATGGGCGTCCGATGAGGCATATAAACAAACAATGAAAGATGATTTCACAGTGAATATGGCCTGAATGAGTTATAAGAAGTCTTCAGGATAGAGAAGATAGGTTGTTGTGCTTCTAGGCAAAGAGATTGACGCAGAGCGCTGAACTGAAAAGATTCTTCTCACGAACAGGGGAGGCTTAAACAGTAATTCACAGAACAATGATGTAAGAATATTATAGTTCAGCAAAGAGAATAATGCCAGTTGTAGGAAGAAGAATACCAAAACCTTTGATAAGTTGATGTGAATGTGTGTATGCAAAGAAAGAATGAGAGTGGAAGAAGAAGAAAACGAAAAGAAACATAAACTTACAAAACATTTGTTTTCACCGATATGCAGCAACTCACCATATTGAGCAGGAAGGTGGCCGATCTACATAGTACAATGGTGTATGAGGAAAGAGCAATTGTGGTAGGAAAGTTGAGCTGGAGACGAGGCAAGCGTGGTAAGCACGTGTAGGTAGGTTATGTTTCAATTGACATCTTGATGACTAATTATTGACTAAGTGTCCGCTGTCTTATTAGCCGAGCCAATTTAGTGAAAGATTTTCGCCTTCAACTCTCATCATAAACTTCTACTTAACATTTCTACCTGGTGTAGAATTGATCATGATAATCCGAGTCTAACAAATATGCCATTATGGTTAGCAGCCTTTGAGGTAAAAATGCTCTTCAAAGTATAGCACTTTTGTTATTCTTGCTAACAGTTGATTCAGGCTTGGGCAGTCGCACGAGTTCGTATTTCACATGCATCGATCTCGAGTTTTTATCGTTAACATATAGTCAGCTCCTAAGAAGTCCTACTTTTCATAGTGCAGTCCGTAACGTCCACAAAAGAGTTCACGAAGCTCGTCATGGCAAAGACCCCTCCGAAATGGGTGGTACCAATATCGACGATCCTGAAAAGAACAGTCGATTCGTTAAACACTTCAAGGACGAAATCAAAGAGCAGTTCTGGGGCAAATCGCCACCTAGAAAATAATTGATATATTATTACGGTATAGCAGGATGATGCTTGCACTGCTTTCACGATTATAAAGGGAGTTTGGTCAATGACTTTGAGCGAACGGCGAACATGCATTTCATGGCGTTTAGAGAAACACTCTATACTTTCTGCATCGAAGTACACAATTATACAATACAATCATCTCTCCTGTCTTTCTTATCTCCTCATCTTCCCCGACAAACGATACACATTCAGGCAAATACTTGGTCTTTCGATATTCCATCGGACATTAAATTGGGCTCTGAGACTGATCCTTCGTGTCACTTGGCTCTCATTCCGTCCGGAGAGCAAACTGGACTACACTTTTCTATTCGCTCCTATGCTTTCAATGCGCTGGACTGTTATTGTGTGCTCAGACATTTTGCGTCTTTTGTTGTCTTTTTACTTCGACTTAAGGTCGCTTTCGAGCTCTTAACCTATTGCCAAGGTACACATATACCGACTTGTGGCTTGTACATAAGTAGTGCTCATTTTCACAGCACCATCCCGCATAATCCTCAATCTGGAATATCGAAGGGCCTTATAGGATGACGCTCATCATATGGTCCGATGTGTCAGAGGTTCGCCATTCAAAAAATAATAGCCGAGCTTCATCTGATTCTCAACAACGATCTAGCTTCCGTTGGAGATGTTACCTGTGCAAAGCTCAATGATTTAAACTTCTCTTCGGCTTGTTCAAAAACGGTAGGTCATTTCCTATAATATTTATATTTAGAGGGACACAGGGGGGGAAACACTTGCCATACGCAGGCTCACACCAATATTTTATGGTGTGTGATCTATTTAAGTGCAAGAAGATTAAACAAAGACCGATTACTCACCGTGGCTTTCTGTCGCCGCACCATCATGTGGGACGTGGAAGCGATGGTCCATATATTATGGTCTACATTTCTTTATGAGGTAGAGCTAGCTTTTTAGATATCTACAAGTGATTAGTGGATGGGAATTATATGGAAAAGAGTGCACCATGGACTATCAATTGATTCATGCGGGTCAGAACGGCTGGTATTGTATCTGAGACGCTGGTGACTTTTTCTTTACAACTCAACTAGATTATGTAGATACTGAGTTTAATTATATCACTTCTACACACCATTTAATAACAACAACGTTGAACAAGAATCGATTCAAATAAGTGTGACCCGCCTGTTCTCTCGTCCCGAACGCAGCACCAGTTTAAAGCCCACATTTATAGAAGCAAAATCTTGATCATGTAGGACTAGGACAAAACGATCATGTCTTTCGCCTAGAAAGAGGTCACAATCCTCAACGTTCATCCCCTGCATCCCTCTCCTCACATTTGCCCCAAAAATCATCAAAATGTCACCCTTCCACCACCGACCAAGAATGTCAAAAAAAAACAAAGGACATACAACAGTAGGGATTCGCTGGTGGTCACCCACCCAACTACTAATCTACCGATCTGAAGCTTGTGTATGGCAGAGCGGACGGGATGCCCAATTCTCTTCAGTCTATGGTCGTATGTGCTGGAAATGTAGCTTTGAGGGTTGATATTGGGGACGTGAAAGGCGGGGAAGAGGAGGTGCGAGACCCCATTCACGAGATGGTGCCCATTAAGCACAAATTCTCTTTTCGCAGCAGTGCGGGTAAAGTCCCAGAAACCTGACTTTTTGCCAATTCTTGGGATATTTGGGAACCGTAGTTGGCGAGGTGAGGTCAATACAAGTAAGATGGTGAGAGCAAAAATGCTAGAGAGAAAAATTGTAAGAGACATGGTTTGCAACACATCTAGGTCCTTTTGAATGTACTGATCGCAGTAGAAGATGGTAGAAATGATAGACAACGTGAGAAATCTTTATTCTCGAATTCTGATGTAGAAATACTGACATTGGGTACCTAAAGTATGTTTGTAGCACATTATCGATCAACCTTGTAACATTTTGAAGTGCTATTGGTCATTGATCTAGCCTAGCTTACTACGTATTCACTTGTCGACATGGACTAGGAGCCATTCAGATCTCAAATGGTGAATGATGAAGTGACGTTCTAAAGTAAGAAGGTTTGGCCAACAGATATCTCGGTGGGACTTCATAGTTCCTCTGCATTTGCATCATCCGTACGAAATTTGAGAAGTGGACGAACTTCCATATTTTCGATGAAGGCATTCGAAGACCCTGGTGCACGAATCAAAGGCTAATGGGTTTTTGGATACTGCAGATTTGTAAAATAGAGTGATATTTACCTGCAGGTTTGGATTCAAGAGCTGCAGCCAAGGTCATACTGATACTTTGAATTTTTGTCTTTATGGGCATCAAAATGAAAAGCTGTTCAGCATTTTCTCCATGAACTTGTGTCTATGGCTAGTGAGATATTAGCCCTAGGTACTTTTTGAGAGGGAACGAGAACAAACCTCCGGGATGAACACAGACAGTTGTAATCCCTTTCTTTGACAAGTGTTTAGAGAGCTATGCAGACTACAGGACGGTTGCCGTTTTGCTCTGCTCATATGCAATTGTGGGAAGGCAGCCAAGATCCTACGGTAATCCATAAGCTTCGCAAAGTACTTTTGAGGGCCTTTCTTCCTCGGGTGTAGTGTTTCCATCGAAGTTTTAGTATGCAAAATGGAAGGGCAGGAGAGTGTGTAGCCACTGCTATTCATTTTCACGAGCCGAGCTCCTTCTTTCGCTGTTAATTTGTTCTTGACTGAGTTGGTGAACAAGAAACTCCAAAGGTAGTTAGTTGCCAAATGCATTCAAATCATCGGTACACTTAGACTCATTTAAGCTTTGGGATACCATATTACATCACTTGTAGAGTCCCATCGACCCTCCAGTCCAAATAGAAGGCTTGACAAACCTTGTAGAAAGATATTACCTAGTCACATGATGGCCTTACCTACTGATGGCAAATCTCATTACGACTGGGCCATGTTGAACGATTTGAAGAGTAGTGAAGGACAATTCTAAGAAATACCCACACGCCGAGCTTCTGATTCGAGGTGACATCTCAAAGATTGACATGGCCGAAGTGATCGATATCCGAGCTGCAGATGTATCTCAAGAATGCTGAATGTGTATGAAAAAGGTATCTAACCAGTTCTCGAGGCAAACAAACCCCTAGATTAGAGACATGATAATATTCTGGTTAGATCTATCGCCATATGATTCAAGCCTAGACGGTTCGAAAGACAGTCATTAGCTACGTTGTCGCTGAGGCACACCAAGTATGGACAACACCATAGATGATCCAGATTCAGTTGTGAAAGATCCTCTCCACGTTTCTAAAACTAACTATGTTTGTCCCCTTACGTTCATAACAGGGGTAGACAAAGAAATTTCTCTTCATTGGAGAATTGTAAGCATTTGAAGAAGGTGGAATGCCTACAAATCGAGAGTACCCAGGTATCTAGGTAGGTAGTGGTCGACACTAACTTTCTAGCTAGCAATTTCTGCCATCTACCGCCTTCTACTTAAAGTGATTATGATCTCCACTCTAACGCTCACTGAATGACGATCCAAAAAGCTCCATATACACGCGACGCGATTTGATCAGAATTATTGAAAGAATACTTTCTAGTCTTTCAATCTGGTGAAATACAATCTACATTTTACCATCCTCCACTATCTAATGCTCACTTCTTAACTTCGTTTCCGTATACAAAATGCCACTTTCCGATAAAGCTTTGACGAGCGCACTCTCCAAGACTGTTCGCGATGTATTTCACAGCGACGAGAAAGACAAATTAAGTGTACGATTTATTAGAACAAAAGTAGAAGAGGAATACGAATTGGGGGACGGCTTCTTAAATGAAGGAAAGTGGAAGGAGAAAAGCAAGGGAATTATTAAGGGCGAAGTTGTAAGTTAATTCTGAGTTGAAGCTGTTGCGTTTAACAATCAATCCTAATGATCAATTGCAGGACAAATTGATGCAAGGAGATGAAGAGGGGAAAGAGGAGGAGGAAGTTTCTGTGAAGGCAAAGAATACCAAGAAAACTCCTGCGAAGAAAGTTACACCTGCTGCGAAGCCAACGAAACGATCTTCGGCCGAAAAGAAGGCACCTCCTCCAAAGAGACAGAAGAAAGAGAAAACCCCTGCTTCTGAATCCGAACTTTCTGAGCCTGCGGAGTCAGAGTTATCAGACATTGGTTCCGAAATGAGCGAAGATGTCAAAGCTAATTCGGATGACGAAATCGGCGATAATGAAGATGAGGTAGCACCCAAGAAGACCAAGAAATCAGCAACGAAAGCAGTGGTCACTTCTGGTTCTGAGTTGTCTGATATTGAATCGATCACTCAATCCGAGGCAAAATCTCCTAAACCCTCGTCTCCAAAGATCCGCGATTCATCCTTATCCTCTCTCCCAAAAACAGAAGAAGAAGCCGCAGGCAATGAATCTGACTCCTCTGCCATGTCTGTCGTACTCGATGGACCTTTAACTACTAAGTCTCGTTCCAAAAAGTCCAAATCTACCTCGACCAAGCCCTCTAAAACCACAAAGGCCGCAAAACCTAAAGCCGCGAAAGCTAAGACCACGGCAGAACTCACACCCAACGAACAATTGATCAAAACACTTCAATCGCAACTTGTCAAGTGTGGAATTCGCAAAATTTGGGCTTTCGAATTGAAGAAATATGAGACAGAGAATGAGAAAATCAAACACTTAAAGAACATGCTGACGGAGATTGGTATGACTGGACGTTTTAGCGAAGGCAGAGCCAGAGAGATTAAGGAGATGAGGGAATTACAGGCAGATTTGGAAGCAGTGAAGGAAGGCGAGAAAGCATGGGGAATGGGTAGAAGTTCTAGGAGAAGTGGAAGTGGTGTTAAAGAGGACAAGAAGAAGAGTGAGAGTAGTGACGATGATGATGACGCCAAAAGCAAGAGCGGCAGTACTAAAAATGATGACGAAGAGAGTGAGGATGATGACGATGATGAGGACATGGAGGTTTCTGTTAGGGCTAGAAGAAAGAATGATCTGGCATTCTTGGGAAGTGAGGAGAGTAGTGATGATGATTGAGCGGATCGACTACTGATCTACCTTTTTGTCAAAGGGTTTGTACAAACTAATGGGGAATATGGAATGGAAATGAAAACGAAAATGGGAGTTACATGGTATGAAGGTCATGGTTATGATATCTCAAATGCTATTGATGGGTCTGCATTTGTATATCGCATTGGGGTTATAGGATACAATATACCTAATATCAAGTGGCAGAATTATACGAAAACAATACAAATATTTTACTTTGAGCCCTCAAGTTGAGGTTGTTTTGCGTCTACATCATAGCATGCACCAGAAATTGACAGTGAATGGTATGAAGCATCACATCGGTTCGTGCGACGAGCACAATTGGGTATACAACATCATCAATTGTTACTTAGAAATACAAATCCTATTATCCTATTCCTTCCTTCAGGTGTCTGGAACCCTATTCCTCCACAATATATCTAAGCACAATCAACCTGACCACCTCTCACTAAATGTTAAAGGTTGGAAGAAGCAGAGTTGGAAAGGAATGGGAAGCTGAGCGTTTAAATATCCAAATCAAGTGGAAATTGTATGGGCCTTGAGATTCACAGACTATTGAAATGAGTAACGATGAAATTTTCATAGAGTTATGATTCCGTTTCATGAAATACGACATGAAATGACACGAGTTCAATCAATGCGTACCGAACATGTAGAGAAAATTCAAGGCGTGCAAATCTCTGAAATTCATAGATTGGTGACATAAATAATTGCAAAGTAATCGTGCAGTGACCAATCGCTTTCCCGAAATTTATGTCATGACCGTCGAAGTTATTGTGTGCGTGATCCACCAGTTGAGGAGGCACAAAATAGATCTCAAAAGCTCAAGGATGAAAGGTACATCATGGAGTTGTAATATCATCGATTTATTATTCAAGACTGACTGCCATTTCTCAATTTCATCATTCGTTCTCGAACACAGTACTTATTGTTCTTCATTACATGTTGAAACCCCTTCATTGCCTTTTAATACGATTATCTTTCGCATTTTCGATTGTCATGTAGCGATCCAGCGATCTTGTCCTGGTCCGAAAAATGGCTAGTGACCTTCGCCTTTCCCACGTCTCGTCACAGTCTACTATGGGTCGTTCCGGAGGACAAGCTATGGCCCATGGATAGTCAAGCTCTTTGGAATCCCCCTTGAGGCACAGAAGCTCGTCCAAATTTGAATCATAATCATAGAATTGGTAATGCGACAAGAAATAGTGAGGAGGCCGGCGTGCAAAGCGTTCTGGAATGCGTGGAACCCGATGTGAACTTGGCCCCTCATACCCTACATATAGAAAAGTCTGTTCCTCGGTCTGCCTGAGGGGTACAAAATTAGAATTGAATCGTTGACGATGAGTTTCATGATGCTCATGATGATATGCATTGTCTGGGTATACAAAAGGGGGAGGTGGTGGTGATAGTGGTGGTGAACCCGATTGATATTGACCCTCGTGTTGATTCTTGGGCGCAGGTTCCTCATCCGACCGTAATGTTGCCGTAGACCACGTATCGCTGTTATCAGATTCATGGTCTGTGTGTTGATCTTCTTCTTCACTGACCTGAGTTTCGGGTTCGGCGGGCAAAGCTTGAGATGTGGTATCTGAACCTCGATCGGCGAATGTTGCTCGGGCCTGGTGACGATCATTTACTCCATGGAATGACGTGCTAGATGGGCCGTCAGGAAACATATAATCCTCAAAGCAGTCGTCAATTTGCACGATGGCCCTCTGTTCTTTGGGTCCTCGAGGAGTTTCGTTTAGGTTCCTTTGTCGATTTGGGTTACGCGTCATTGTATTGGTATTGTATTGATTTGGATTCTGGATGTTGATGAGAAGTTTTGATTTGATGGCTGTTGTTAATGAAGAGAAGCAGAAAGTAACAGAATTTCGAGGGGACACTGAAAGCTTAAATGAACAAAAGGCAAATGATTTGTGATTCCCCAAAATGTACATTTCAATTATGAATAATCGAAAACGACGAAGTCATACAAACTTCACTTTTACAACAAGCGCAAATGTGTAGTATCAATGACTTGAATTTCTATGACTGATCTCCTGATTTAGTCACATCATCTCGTGCCTTTTTCACATGTCCATTTCTTCTGCTTCTACCACTTCTTCCTCGTCGGCTCATTGTTTTCATTTCTTGCTTTTTCATTGCTCTGTCTCCGTCTTCACATTTTCCACTGCCTAAATCTTTTCGCCTCAAGCTTCTGGTTGAGAAGCTGGCTTAGATATCCAATTTGATATTGATGGTCGAAAGTGTTGATCTTGAAGAAATCTGAGGTTGAGGAAGGGAAGTTCAAATCGGTGACTTCGATAGCAAGATATCCAGATCTATTGGTTACTGGAAACCCCCCGAGTTTCGATGTGAGTAATTGAAACATGAGTGGCATCATGTTTTGGGTTTGTAGTTGTATGATCATAGACAGAATTGTGACACATCAACGCTTTTGATTCATAGGCCTGAATAATAATGACTACCCCTTGATTTCCACCGGTCCAATATCTCCAGCCTCGCTTTATTCGCCATAGCTTCATCGACTCGGATACCAGCCTCTCTATCCTACCCTCTAATACATATCTCTCCTTCCTCCGATACCACTTTGCTTTCCTATTTCACTTCCCCAAATACCTTTTGCCCACGTACTCCTTACCAGGTACCGTATGACATGCCCATTCTTGAAAAATTACCCGTCCCAGATCCAATGCTGTCTAACTGGCCTCCACTTCTCAAGTATCTTCCATAAGCATTATTTGCCTCAGCTGTTCTAAATCCAACTCTTTGAGTTTCTTGGGCTACGGTTCCTTGGGCCAATCCTTCGCTAGAAGGGTAGGCATCTCTGTGGCGGTTTTGTTGAGGAAATGATGAAGATTCCTGCACCGTGTGATTCAAAGTGGGGATAACATAAGTGTCTTGGTATGAAGCGACGCTAGCAGAGGCTCGTTGAGGTCTAGTGACTGAGAAAGTAGTTGCATATGAAACAGGAGCTATCTCAGGGGGTATGGTTCGACAATGCGGAACGGAGCGTGAAGTATAACTGCCGTACACACTAGCTGAGTATGGGCGTGGTAAATTTGATTGAGGCGCGGCTTCGGAGTATGAATTGCGAGGCGAATTACCACTGACGGGGAGCTGTTGACGCGAGAGTGGACCTTTATTATGTCCTCGAGGCTTGGCTCTAGAACGTGAGCCGCCGGAGTTTTCATTTTGAGGTGGAAGCACATTCTGTGAGATTTTTTGACGTTCATGCGGCTTAGCTCGATGTCTGGAAGTAGATCCGATGTGTAAAGCTTGAGGTGGCTTGCCAAAGTTTGGATCGATAGGCTCATCTCTTCGATCTGCGTGTCTGTATTGGTCGTCTTCTCCGCGCACTGTAGACCGATCATCACCACTTTTGATGTTGTCTAGCCATCTTTCAACCGTACTATTGCCAGGCATTTTTGTTCTTGCTTCAATACTATTTGGATATTAGTATTAAACGAGTTGTATGTAGAAAGTAGATTCGATAAAGTTATCAGGTTGTACAAACGGGTTGTGTTATTGAAATAAAACTCAATATTGATGAAGTTCTGAAACCATATCAAGTGAAGTTGAAAGGAATATTCAGAAAGAAAAGAGAAAAAACAGAAGCGGTCTCCTAAGTAAACGAAATTTCATACTTTATGACTCTCCGAAATGCATAATTGATAAATATGAGTGTATTCGATTCAGAAGATGACTGAAAAATTGTAAAGTCACAATATCATCGATTTTTATCTCTAAGTCTAGCAATTACTCATTATTCCCTTGTTTCCTTGTTACATCATACTGCTAGACACCTACTAACCATATCTTGACCCTGTCATTCATTTCTATCCCCTAATAAATTCATTGTTGTGTTCCATACTGTCAAGATTCTCCCTGTTACCCTTCTTCCTTCCTTCTTGTTATTCTCCAGAATTACACCCTTGAACTATTTAAGTCCATCTCCATTTCTTCTATGTCTTCTGCCTGAGTCTCATAAAGTCAAGTCACTTGTTGAATCATCGTCTATGAATCGACCTCACAGTCTTCTAAACAACACTCAGAAAACCCTCGAGATACGTAGGTTTGTAATATCATGAAAATCTAGTTTCCAAGGCTAAACACCTTCCAATATCCTTCAAAAAAACACATTATGCCATATCATCCTCAATGTAAAAACCTTCCTTCTTCCTCATCTCCGACTGAAACTTTCTCTCCGCCCTAGCCTTCCTTTCCATTTGATCACTCTTCTTATCAGCATATACTTTTACGCGTGGATCTTCCTTAAGCCGCGGGCCAGACCAGCCATCTATCTTATGTTGTCTTTTTGCGTGCTTTCTGGCATTAATGTGAGGTTCTAATCCGTTGACCGTTGATTGGATTGAGCCTGAATTGGATGATCTTCCGTTTGAGTTTGAGCCATAAGACATTTGGCTTGAGACCGAGCTGCCAGATGTGCGGATTGAATTTGTGCTTGCTGACGAACGAGTCGAGCTTGAGTTGGAGAATACTCGACTTGGATTCGTGCTCACTGACGAACGACTTGAACCTGACCTTGAAGAGGTTTGGCTTGAGCCTACTCTGAAGAACATACGATCCGAGCCGGCGCCTGAACTGGAGTGCGTCTGGCCCGAGCTTGAACCCGAGTGATATGACATTTTTCGGTTTGATGGGCTTGATGATTTTGTGAACTTTATTTGATTCAAGCTTGTCTATCGAGTTAGATATTGGAAATTGTTCGACGTTGATTTTGATGACAAGTTTGAGATGAAGTCGATGCAGATACTGGTATGCTTACACGATTCAGTAGTAACGATATCGACGATTGAAAATTGTGATGTTGAGGAAAGGCTTTCAAATTTGATGAACTCTTTGATATTGACGTGGATAAAGAGAAGCAAAATCGAGAGCATGAACAAAAGGAGAGTAGACCCTTATGTAAACAGAAGATGGGTGCGCAATGAGTCTTAGACATGAATTTCGCTAACAATATCGTCAGGTCATTCTTGGTCCGATTCATAGTCGTAGGTATGAATGGGTCCATTAAACGTTGTTCCACTCTTCTATCCTAAGGCCAACCTCTCCGATTTCTCTCAGCCGCTTTCTAAAACTCGGTCGTTTCCCTCCCCCTCCCAACCCCTTTTCCGTAGATCCTCTCTGGCCCATACCCAGCCAGCCTGACCTCACTTCCTCTGATCTGATCTGGCCATCCGGATACAAGTATCTCACACCCCACACATCGACCCTACTCAGCTATTAGGCATCACCATTTCCACTAGGAACACCAGAATAAACACTTGTCCATCCTATCCTCCAGGAATCCCACACTTCCACTTCCACCTCCACGACCTACACGAATACTCGGAAAAGAGCTCGGAACATTTTCTCTTCCGTCGTACTCCCCATCTCTCTGTAGATCCCCACTGCCAACAATTTCCACCCAGCAACTCTCGCACTCGTAGGCATGAGAAAATTACATATGATATATCATCCCTACGCACAATCTCCACTGATCACATCATACACATCACAATTTGGAGCCGCAGCGGGAAAAACTTTCTCTTGTCTTGTATTTTCCTTTTTTCGCTCTTCACTCCACTCAAATTTTCTTTCGGTATAAATACACACTGCCAACACTCCACGATACATCTATCGGGCAGGTACCCAGACCGAACATCCATTCTAAAGTTGATTTTCATCCAGCTGTATTCTTCGACTCCACCCCCCTCCATTTTGAACCCCATCCACCCTCCCACCCAGCATATCCATCCATCGCTAGATGAACGCCAGCCAAAGTTCATCCACGAACATCCCCATCAATATCATCGAGAATGTCTCCTGTGTTCGATGACTTTTCCCAGAGAATTCCATCAAAAACTTCCATGCATGCACGCATATCATGTACCATCAAAAAACGAAGAGATCTAAAAGCAAGAAAGAAAAAAGAAAAAAGGTGTTCTATGTACAGATCGACCGACGGTACTCATCCATTCGCTACTCGCAAATATCGACGTTAAGCTTGACATGATAGGTTAAGACATCATATAAAGCTCAACTGGTGTAAATCGTGTTCGATCACTTTTACAAGCACAGAATCATATCATGTGATTGCAGTTTTATTTCCGGCTAAAATGCCTTCGTGTGGTATCGCATAGCCGCAGTCGAATTTCGCTCATTAAGGGGAATGTGGAACCAAAGTATTTAAAGTTCGGCATCGTTTTGCCTAATAAAATAAGCCCTAGTGTTTTTGTTAGTTTTAATTCCATATTCAAGATTCAAAATCATAGAAACACTCACTTGCAAGCCTCATATGCGGACCAACAAATGGCGGTACTAGGCATAGTGGTAACCACTCTTGGTTTAACGCCTTTGAAGAAACCACCGAATCCTGCTCTTCTATGAATAACCCGACATCCTTCTACAAAACCACTGACATTTCTTAATTCCGCATCAGTCGCTGTTCCTCTGGTTTGTAATAAAGTCTTGACCACATCCATAGGTGTTGTGAGAGCAGCCGCAAACCCTCCTGCAACCGCACCCGCCGAACAATGGGTCCATGGATCGTATTTTTTAGTAGGGTTCATAAAAGTCGACATCGATTCGTATGCGAGGAATTGAAGAGCAGTGAAAGGAACTGTCATGGACAGGGTGGTAGGATAAGAAACGTAGAATGCGGAAAGACCTTCACTTCGATAAACGTATCTAGCACAATCCGTCATTGATTTGTACATAACTTTCGAGTTGTGCATTTGCATGCGCTGTTTGATAACTTTCAAATGTCAGCAAAAAGATAGAGAATGATGTAAAGTGCGTATCATACCATCGAAAGGATTCATGAGGGCGTCACTTGCAATGGTTGCGCAAGCCCCACTAGTAGCTATTCAGTATTAGTAAACGTTAAAATTTTGTACTTTTGAGAAAACTAACCAGCAGCAAGAGGATGGTGAACACCAGCTTGGTTTCCTCCCATGACATGCTTCACAGCTTCATAAGTAGCGAAATAAACAGCGTGTGCAGGTCCTAAACCGATATTAGTATTCTTCTGTGCTTATTCGACTCGAGCAAAACTGACCAGCTCCCACAACCACACTTGACATGCCCCTCCATAGACTGAAAAGTCCCTCTCCGGTAGCTATCCGATATCCTCCTTGTATGACACCATTGTAGACTGCGGATGGGGTAGGGTTGAGAATTTGCATTCGGGTCTGCATCGTATCAATATCTGACTTCATCTGAGGGGCAATTCATATATACCTTGATTGCATCGATCGGGTACATAACAGTATGTTCCTATAGGCCCATCAGTATCGAATGCAAGAAATTCCGTAGATCAGAAGAGCGTACCGCGATTCCGGCAAAGGCGCCCGCAGCCATATTCTGGATTAACGAAAAATTTGGTGGGAGAGATTCATATCTAGCCAACAAGGTATTAGTGATTTGCGCCTGCAACCCGTTGAAACCAAGAATCCAATTGCCCTCATCATCACAAGCACATACTCATCATATTCCTCCAAAGGTTCTCCGCCTGGCTTAGCCATTTGGGCTAACACCGCAGATCCTCCTCCAACTTGAGCTGATTGAAGAGCCAGGTTGTCGACTTCCGTAGAATCAACAATGAATGTCGCAGATCGATAAAGATACAAAGGATGGAAATCGCACAGCTTCTAATCTAATAGAAGTTTTTTTTCTGCGATCAAGTTGTGGTTGTGGTTGAGGGGGAGGAAAGCAAGAGGGGTGGCGGGTTGATTGGTAGATATCGATTTTTAGTTGGAAGCAAAATAAAAAAGTGGTGATGCTGTGTTTTTGTTTCCCCCAAAGATCCGAGATACGAATTGAGCAGGGGTTTCTTTGGAATAAAATCGGGACCGAGGCACCTATAGCTTTGTACACAGTTGAAACAGCTTGGTTGCTTGATTGTTTGCTTTTATAGAATCAACAGACTGTGCAGAGTAATTGAAGGGAAAAAAGAAGAAACCTCAAAGGAACTTTGGTGGAATTGGCTGGATCTTTTGAAGCAAACAGCAAAGTACCCAGTGGACGATCACAACGAAAAAATCAGAAAACTCTCTGTCTGTACTTGGTCGAATTGGAGAAAGTCTTTCATTAAGATTACATATCGAAATCCTCAAAATCATTGATTTACATAGGCAGAGAACAATTGAAAGATAATATATATTTGAATATTACGTATCGCCATCGAAAAGTCCAGTTCTTTGTTATATTCCACCTCCGCTTTCGCAGTTTTACCAGCCTTTGATCGGAACTCTCTGCTTATTGTCTTGCCCACTGTTGGCTGAAGGCTTCTCGCACAGTTCCACGGAGTTGCCACTTTATCTGACAAGAAAGATGACCCGGAGTTATTAAACAGATAGTATTCGGGTCTTGCGGCTATGTAGATATTATAGGAACCTGGGTATCTGGCGCATCCTTCTGTCTCTTTTCTAGAGCCGACTTAATGATTTAGATAACCATCTAGACAATCATCTAGACAGTCATCTCATCTAATCTAATCATGAAGCGATCCGGCTCTTCGGTACATGGCTATCTAACTACTCTATTACTCCCTATTACATACGTATATACAGATTAGCAATACAATTTAAATTTATGAGATATCTCAATCACTCCCCACCATCTATCTGGATAATCCTAGGGCATTTCCCCTTATCGTAACTCGCGCATCTATCCAGTTCGCATCAAACAAGGTGTGGATGAAAGGAACATACATTTACCGGCAGAATGACAACGGTCAGAGGCGCAAGCGCGCAGCAAACTCAAGCACAATCCCCGAATACCACCCAGCCACGTGATATTATACTGTTTAGAAGATTCCGTGTTTGGTCCGGCCGAGAAATTGTGTTGTTCTTAATCTTAAGGTAGGATGTTCTTTTCTTGTTCAGTACTGTGTAGGGAACCTCTAACCACTGGATTGCGTTGTCCCGAGCATTGTGTCAAATGGATATGCCTGGCATATGACAGCAACGCGAGACGATTCCTTTTATTCATACGCAGACAAGTTGTCTGTAAATGCAATTGCTAAAAGCAGTGGGAACCATGGTCACTGATCTTTGGGTGCAAGACGTCAAATTAGCGCAGGATAAGCCCATCCTGTCAATTTTCTCATCCTTTTTCTCGTAAGAAACACGCTCTCTATCTCTCTACTCACGGTTTGGTCGTATTTATCGAATCTAAGATCGACATCAAGTCTCTCTGTAGCATTTTTCGAGTCTATAAATGTGTATACATACAGCCCTTGCGGTTAAATACCAATTTGACTTTGTTTGTACGACATTCTTATTCAAGTGGTAAAGCGAAGTATTCGTCATGCCAACATGACTATCACAAACATTAAATCTGTTACCTTCTAGCACGCTTCGTGCGGCGGATTTCCATGGATATATAATAGGTGTCCATCATTGCAATTCGTCACTTGCGGTTGGTACGAAAGAGCTTATTGCACCTAATCTCTTCCAACCAAGACCAAAATCTCAGACGCTCATCTTAATTGGTTTCCTCCCAACCGTCACACAAAATGGCTGCGTAAGTCTGGCGCCTCCACAAACCTCCTCATACGCCTTCGGAACATCCACACCCACCCTCTCCAACTTTTCCACAACAAACGGGCTCCCATTATTCGCCATCTCATGTACAACAGCACAAGACCCATCTCCCACCATTTTGGTCTGCCATGGTTGTTCGAATGCAAAATCCTCCTTGATATCTTCTAGATTATATTGTGCAAATAATCTAGGGAGGGTTGGAATCCATCTATGAGAGTCAGAATTGAGGAATCTGAAGCTACAAAGAAAAAGGATAGATGCGACGATATACCTGTGATCTTTGATGTTTGCCTGCACATTAAGAACCTTAATGACATGCGGTGACTCTTCACCATTTGGTCCTTCAGCAATACCCCGGTTAGGATCAATTTCATTCCACTGAACATATCCTCCCGGACCTACAACAACTCATCAGTTACTCTCCTTTTGTTACTCACAGCGAAAGAAAAACATACGTAACAATTTCAACGCGTGAGTAAGAATTGCACTCGGGTCCCCATTCATCACAACACCAAGCCAAAGACGTAAATGCACGATATCAAAACTCTCTAACAACTCTTCAGGAGGATCAACTTGAAGACTATCCAGAACTTCTAATTTCACATTCGAGGGTAAGTAATCTGAATGTGGATATTGGGCGGAGGAGATGTCGAATCCATACAGTTGGACTGTGGGAGGGAGTTGCCGAGCGAGATCCAAAGGCCAGATCCTGTGCAAGGGATTTGATATTAGACATTGAAATTCGAATAACCCGTGAATGTAATAAAAATCACAGTCAGAAACAACATACCCGGTACCAGTTCCTAGATCAGCAATTCGATATTTCGACTCAGGTAGCGGGGTAGGGATTGACGGGTGCAAAAGATACCCGAGCCCCTCTTTCCAGAGATAATGCTGCAGATTAAGCCTGCTCATTGATCAGTAAAGATTCATGTCTCGCTGAATCGTACTCACCGAATCGACGCGTGCATATCCCGAACCAATACATAACCTGGGTCTTTCTCCATTTCTGCTGACGATTAATAGACTTCTTTCAGAGCGGTGATATTAGGTAGGTAGGCAAGCAACGAATATAAGAGAAAACCACACTTCATTGCCACAAATAAAATCCAGAAGAAAAAACGAGCACTTCCACTCAATCAAGCTACTTATATCACATGTCAGATACATACATCAAATCTTCAGCTAAAGTATAAAAGCCCCTAAGCGAAGCTACTGATTAATATCATTGAATTGGATGCTACCTGCCCTATATAGAATATGAAGACGATTAGAGGGGTAGGTAAGCTGATTCAACTGTTTGAGTCCCACCCAGGTATACGTACCTAGGTACAGATAGCACTGCATTGCATTGCATACTAGAATACCTGATACCCAGAGATTCGAAGTCATTCACCCACCGCGCCGGCTCGATCAATCATCAACAATTCATAAACTCTTATCGAATCATTCGAGTCTCATTCCAAATCAGAGAAAGGGAATATATATACATAAATTCAACCCAGCCAATCTAAACTCCATATCAGCAAACCTCACACCTCCATAGCCAAATCCACACACACACAAAATAAATCCCGAGGTTTCCCCGCACCAAGATCTATCTTATCTAATCACCCTCGGCAATCTCATCCCATCTCATCTCAAAAAACATCCCTGACCATCACACACTAACCCACACCATCATCTCATCATCATCGTACGATATTTCCCAAAGCCCTCCCACCACCTCACCTCGATCCAAACCCTCATGCCATTTCCCATGCACCCACCGCAATTGGGAATCGCATTCTCGCATTTCCCATCCTGTACTCCCTGGTCTATCTGGAAGAAATCCATACCGTAACCACTAGGTACCTTGTAAATAGCCTTTGCAAATTGTGGAGGCGACTTGTATATGACCTATACCCTAACTTTATGATCTAGAAAGAAAGAAGAAAAAAGCTTGAATTTCTAAACTAATGTCTGGCTGGTATTATTTTCGTATTCGGATTATTTGGGATAATCTGCAATTTTGTATTATCATTACCTATGATATGAGACCTATGTTATACGATTCTGAATCAATTTCTCAACGACACTGATCTTAATACATGCTATCATCTTTACTCACCTATCATGCTAATAAATTTGATACTATTGTTTCTTGTAAACGACATTAAATGATGAATTATTGATATCAAAATTACTTTCTAAAAATGTGCACACGTCCCAAGTGGCTCGCTTCAAATCCAGGGGCTTGGGCCCGGACCAATACCAATATCATTATCATGCATATACTTCCCTACCGCCAAACACCTTGAACACCAGAAACTTCCTATATGCTCGCTACCATATACTAACACCTGGTCTACCATTTGTTTGCGCCTTCTGAAATTGATACACCAGTCCCAAAACACCATCTCCCGCTGTCCCATCGCCATCATCCTCGTCATCTTCCCCCCCGTTATCATCATTTGCGGGAGATACTTCCCAAGTTGATTCGCCCAGATTAGCGACTGTATCATCGACTGCATAGGATCTTCCAGGTTGAAGAACTGGTCGACCAAGTTCGTCTTCATCTTCCATCGGCTCTTCTCTTATATTATTTTCTCTCCGGGCTGGATATCTGGATCGAGAAGTCCGTCTGGAGCTACGAGCATCGACTTCAGATGGGGAAGGTTGGTGACGTGGGTCCAAAAGAATAGAAGCCATAGGAGATCCCATAGCAGTAGTATTGGATGGGAATCGAGTTGTTCGGGGTGCTCTATTCATCGGTCTCACTTCACTCTGTCCCATCCTTGAGCTCTGCAAATCCGCACCTGATGATGGAGACATCAGACCTGGAAAGGCAGGAGGAGGGTGGAACTGCTGTCGCATACCCGGTGGATTATGCCCTGGTACGCCTGTTTTTGGATTGAGCATATAGTTATCGAGGAAATTATAGTATGAGGCGGCCATTTTTCCGTGCTTGGTAGAATAATAATCTTCTCGCACGTCCGTTTTGACTATACCTCGCGATGGAGCACTACCAACTCCCTTCTTGAAATCGAAAACGGCAAAGGAGCAGACATAACCAACGCCATCAACATGAACCGTGAATTCTCTAAAGAAATCAATGATCTGTTCGGCGCACTTTGGCAAGCTGAACCATAACAGGAATGGGGTAATTATAATACTCAATACCTCCTCAAAGAAGATCACAAGCTTGAGTTGATAGAGAGTGGAAAACTCTTGCTTGACCTCGTCACTGTGGAGTCGATCTTGCCAGTGACTTGGCATGTAATGAGTATATTCGATCACACTTCGGAGTGCATACTCGGGATCAAATACCTCATTTTCTTTAGGTATCATACCATTCGTGATAGCCCAAATCGATCCGAACACACCTAGATAGAATAAAACCGGCCTCTCTGAGGTGATATCAAATCCGGCTAAGACTTCAGAATCCCAAACTGTGGCAACTATTAAAACGGATACAACAGCTCCGGCAACGAATGTTATAAATCTAGCCATATGGGCAGTTTTGATATTCGGAAATTGATTAAGATAGCGCGACGCAAATGGGTCGGACATGTTCAGCCGTCTATTAAATAGATGATGAAGTTCATTAAATTCTCTGAATTTCCACTCCGCTAGAGGCGTATAACCACGCGATCCAAGTGCTGCAGGGTTCTTATGATATTGCTAAAGGTCGAATTAGCAAAATTCCATGCGTCAAGGAATAAGATAAACCTTACATTAAAGTATTTGAAGAAATACACAATCACCACATATATGACGATGACAGGAGCACAGATAACATTCATCAAGCCGGCAAATAGAAACCTATTTCGCAACCCATCGCTCAACTCTCGTCGATGAGAATCCTTCAGAATCAATTGCCTGACCTGGCCATAGTCATTGAAAACAAAATCTAATATGCACCACTCCAGGTTCCACTGTAAAGTTTTCGAGAATAACTGTCGACCTTGCAAAAAAGGAAGTGGTAAAGTCAGATCCAGAATTTCCTTGTTAACCAGGGCAATGAGGTAATTCTCTTTCCTCATCAAACGATTTGCTATATCATGAGCATCAAGCCGTTGTTTTGATTGAGTACCCATGACAAATTTTCGATTGTTCGGCGAAATTCTCTCCACGGTCATAGGATTTGCGTCTCGAAGCGCCATTACCCTGCCTATAACATCTTGAAAAGATACGGTCTGCATATTGCTATCCTGGATCTCAAGGAGATAAGTAAAGAAGTCACGCATTCTCATTAGTCTCGGGAGATCCGTCAAAAGCTGATATATCTTATAGAGAACAAATAGGCAAACTAGCCAAATTGCTACATTTGAAATCCCGGATATCTTCTTTGTGCATTGTGGGACTAAGGCTTGACTTAAGCTACGAGCGTTGCCACGATAGATCTTCTTATAGTCGACACATTGCGTAAGGAAAGTCGTGAATATTGTCACAAAAAGAAGAGTGCTAACAAAAAATATATTAGCCCGGTTTTACTTGACTTCGAAAAGATGTACTCACAGGATATCGATGGCTTTGGCTAGAACTATACACCAAATACCTGCCCCTTCAAAATAATCGTATAAATCTCTGATGAAATTGTCCAGATTTGTCACATTGACCCATCGGTACATAGCTTTATCTTTTGGACTGCCTGACAAATAGATTCCTGTATTTCGAGGGATAGCTTGTGGTGTATGCGACACAGCAGTCGTCCTGGCTGCGTCATCTTGATGTAACTTCTGCTGGTCCTGCGTCATCTCCCAATGAGCTCTCTCCCTCTCATCTTTTATCTGCTGTGCTGATGGCCTCGGTATTGCGTGTGCTTTCTTTGGAAGCGCAGGCTGCCTTGCTCGAATGGCAGGACCCTCCCGGTCAGGATGACGATTATCTCCCTCTATCAACAACGAAGCAGGCACATCATCGTCAGGATCTTCTGCAAGTAGCCTAGGCGATTCTGCGAAATGATTTGCTCTTGCTTTACCTTTTCCTTTGCGATCATATTCTGGCCTGTGTGTTGGTTGTTGTTGATCAGGTAGGTATTTTGTACTTTCTGTAACAGATTCACCGCCGATCACATCTGCCAGATTCCCCAACTCGTCGTCATGAAATCTCAAGTTCTCTTCGTCGATTGCCATTGCCGCTCGTTCCTCTACATCTATTTCCGATTCGGAAACCTCGTCGTGAGCACGTAATGAATCATATATCGATCTAGCTTGGGAATTCGAAGGCAGCAGCCGTGAAATAAGGTTCGAGGTCATCATCGTGGGAAAGATCCGCCGAACCAAGTATGCATAGGATTGTGCTGCGAATCCAAATAGACCTGTTTGATGTCTAGTCAAAATTGCAAGGTGCTATCGGTCTTGTAGGTTTATGCTGAATCCGGTCAATGGAATAAGATGACCTTGAGAGTGATCGTGAGATAGGTAGGGTATTAAATATGACACATTACTGGAAGGATCCAGCCATACGGTCAATAGATCTACAAGTCAGCTGAATAATGTTAACGGTTTCAAGTCGATGGTTGAAATATAGAGCACGAGATAGTAGGTGAATGATGAATGACGCCCACTCTCAATGCGATACGGGCAACTCGATTATCTGCCACTCTGACCGCTTTCTTATCAACCTCAAATGGTTTAGCTTTATTATAACCCATGAGAGATTGTAGGACTTGTGTTCGAGACAAAACAAAACGGCGAATATTAGAAATAGTTTCGAGGTTGAAGAAACGGGGATTGACTTCGAATCTTGGGAATCATGACGGCCGATTACTTTACTCGAAAGCAGTCATATTCGGGGTTTAGTGATGGAACTGATTCTCCTGGAACACCTTTAACATCAAGAACCAATCCATTATCTTCAAAAGTCACGAGTGTCCTTTCAGCATCTTACGCCGATTCAGATATTAGAGATGCTCTGGCCTTGTTAGACAAACGAGGTATACAGAACACTGCCGAAACTAGACGGCAGTTGAGATTAGATGTTCAAAAGGAGGTCATTGAAAGTAATGGCGATATAATTCGTGAATTTGGTCATGTTGCTGAGGTATGAGGCTCCTCCCCTCTGTTGTTGAAAATCCCATCTCATCTCAAACTTTAGCAACTTAAACGCATTGGTCTTACCATTGCTACTCTCAATCAAGGATGTGAGGAAATGAAACGACATATTTCAGCCGCTCATCAAGAAACAGCTCCCGTCATACAGGAAGCTTCCGAGCTCATGAAGCAAAAGGAACAAATGCAAGCAAAGCAAGAATTATTGAATGCTTTTAATGCACATTTTATTATGTCAGAAGATGATATTGCATTACTTACTTCAACGGCCGAGCCTGTAAATGATAAATTCTTCTCCATTCTGAACAGAGCCAAGAAGATACAAAATGATTGTGAGATTTTACTTGGAACAGAGAATCAACGATTAGGATTGGAGATTATGGAACAAACTACTAAGAACCTCAATGGTGCTTTCCAGAAGCTCTATCGATGGATTCAGAGAGAGTTTAAGACTCTTAATCTGGAGAATCCACAAATCAGTTCTTCGATTCGTCGTGCTCTTCGCGTATTGGCAGAACGACCATCTTTATTCCAAAGCTGCCTCGACTTCTTTGCTGAAGCACGAGAAAATATACTTTCTGATGGATTTTATACTGCACTGACTGGGACTACCGTTGGCGGCGAAGAAGATCCTTCAATAAAGCCAATCGAGCTAGTGGCTCATGATCCGCTGCGTTATGTCGGTGATATGCTGGCTTGGACTCACTCGGCAACGGTAGGCGAACGAGAAGCACTCGAAGTTCTATTCATCTCAGATGGCGATGAGATTGCAAAAGGGATACAAGCTGGTTTAGATAGCGAGCCTTGGAACCGCATAGCCGAAAATGAGAACGAGATTGGTCATTTCAATGGTCTGAAAGCTCTCAACGAATTAGTAGATCGGGATGTCACTGGTGTTGCACGAGTTCTTCGACAAAGAATTGGACAGGTAATACAAAGTCACGAGGAGACAGTCATGGCATATAAGATAGCCAATTTGTTGAATTTTTACCGCGGTACATTCAAAAGATTATTGGGGGATGATTCCGTTCTCCTAGAATCTCTTGCAACACTCGAAGAATCTGCATTACGCCAATTCCGTGCTTTGATGCGCGATCATATCACCAGTCTACAATCCGAAATTCAAGTCGCTCCTCCTAACCTCAGTCCGCCTGATTTCCTCCACGAAGGTCTCAAACAGCTGACTGCAATCATGAAAACATACGAAACATCTTTCACATCTCCCGAGACTCGAGAAGCAGATTTTGAGCCCATTCTCGCCGAAGCTTTCGACCCCTTCATGCAAGGCGGCGAAAATATTGCAAAGGATCTCCCAGCTCCAAGAAGCACAATCTTCACGATCAATTGTCTCCTATCCGCCCGAGCGACTTTGGCTCCCTTCGACTTCACAATCTCCCGCGTTTCAGAAATCAAAGATACAATCGAAGAACACGCTGCCACTCTCATAGATCACCAATACACATTTTTCCTTGAGAAATCTGCTCTTCAGCCTCTGTTGCAAGCCATATCTTCCACAACGAATATTCGAGACCACCCTGTTTTCCAACCCGCATCTTTAATACAAGCCTCCCAAACCTTAGATGATTTCCTCCCTTCAGCATTGATGGATGCAATGGAAAATCTCAAAGATCTACAGAACAGTATCTTGGTGCGTCAAATTACCGAAGAGGCGGCTGAGAGATTCTGTGATGATTTTGAGAAGGTGGAAGGGTGCCTGATAAAGGCTGATGAAGAATTGGAAGAGAGCTTGGATGAAGAGGATGGAGAGAGAGAACCTTTGAGAATATTGTATCCGAGAACTGGAGGAGAAATTAGGGTCTTGTTGTCGTAAATTTTGGTTTGGATTTGTTCATTGAGTGGAGATTATATAGAACATTAGAAAGGCATTCACTCTTGGCCCACTGTACACTTTACTCTTGGATGTGCTTCCTATGCAATGCCTTATGTTCCGGTCTATGTGGTATTCCAAGTGGAGTCAGCACAAACAGATGCTCATCTGAAAAGTGTAGAATGCCTTTCGACTGTTCTGTTGCTTTATATTATCTTCCATTACTACCTTCCATTATTATCTTCCATCATTATCTTCCATTATTATCTTCCATTACTACCTTCCATTATTATCTTCCATTATTATCTTCCATTACATTTATATCCCATACAAAGCAGCATTATTCCTCAATAACAAAATTCCACAAAGCACAACAGAAGCGGCGGCTGTTTAATACAATCCCATCCTTCTGATTGTTTGGATTCATCGTGTGAATCTATCTCCTCGCCAATATGTGTATAGAAACTGTAAATCCATAGTTTTTGTTGCCTCATAACTCGTCTGTTGTTTCATCTATTCGCAGAACTTATGAGGTGCCTTCGTTACTTTCCAATGGGAAGTAGCAAGTGACGGTTGCGGGCAGTAATACGAGTAGAAACCGAAATAATTGGAGAGTGAACGATTTGTCAAGCTGAGAACTGGTGTTGATCAAAATTGTAGTTCCATACAACAGTGAATAGGAGACAATGAGGACCGAAGAACAATACTAGCGCGATTTGAGAGAAAAAAATTCGATTTTCTCTTGATGCCCAAACGCTAGGGGTACTGATATTTCGCGATTTCGACGTAGATGGCTCGGAAGTTTTGGTCGTACCGAGTTGCTTCATTGTCAAAATGAAAGGAATAGGTTGGAGACTCTCATCGTTGTTGACAGAGAAAGACTATTGCAGTTTAACACTCTTAGACAGACAACAGTGTGCAGATTCACAATCGCTACAAATTTGGCCTGTGCCCCGGCTTTCAAGAGCTTCTTCTCCTGATGTCCCAACTCTCTCGCAAAACGTGTTCTCGCGAATCATCCTTTGTAGAGGAGCAATAATGATTCGTCTTCTTTCTTCCGCCAGCGCAAACGAATCGCTATTGTCTCTTAATAACCCTTCAATCCACCATTCCAACTCTGTACGCTTGCTCTCGGTGGCCCTTTCGTAATCAATACTTCCGCAGTAGTAACGGACACATTCGGCGGTTTGGCCCAACCTTGCTACATTCCAGGAAGTCCATACACTATGTTGAAAACCGAAGCGACTAAGCAGAATTAGGATGCAGATAAAATATAGAATATGGTGAATCTTTCCAAACGTCCAGTACCCGAGGAAATGGTCCCAGCTTCTAATTTCAGGGCGGAAAACACGAACAATAAGGCCAGATGTCACCCACCACATTGAGCTCAAATAGATGTGTTCGCGAAGAGATGTCAAATTCGGAATTCCTTGTCGCGAACCAGATAGAATAAATGCGAAGCGTTCTTTTTGGAGCTGAATTTCCCTCTTTCTCCGTTCCGCTGTCCATGATTTTTTACGAAATCCGAAAGGAAAGTTGGGACTTTTACTCTCATCATAGGATTCGAGAAGCAGTCGAACCTGAGAAAGCTTTTCAGACGGAGAGAAGTCTTTTGATAAGATAGAATCGTGACAACTAATTACCCCCTTCCTATCATTTCCGCTACTGCAGCTACCGCCAATGGCGCTAAAGGTTGCGATGAACATCGTGACATACATCCAGTACATATCCCACACACTCACATAGAAACTGTGTCTCTGAAAGAACCAGCATGTGAATGTGGTAAGACAGAAAATGGGCAAGAATCGGTAGATAATGAATGCAAGAGCGTTTGGGACACGAGGAAATTTGTCCTCAGGTTCGATTGTACGGAAGTTCATGTGTGCGATCGTGATGCGAACTTCAAAAAGAGCAGGGCTTTTTCAGGAAAAAAGAAAAGTTATGTCGTTTGTTTTCATCGGTGTGTGGGAGAGTTGTCCTTGATACTTGATCGCCAATTTACCCGAGGAGCTAGGTTTAGTGCCGTGTCTAGTCTCCTCACAACCCTAATCGAGCTCTGATGGGTCTCTGCTAATTCACACCTATTGGGTCTGTACAATTTCCTACACAAACTCATGCTCCTCGTTCCTCCTTCTATGTCCCTACTTTTTCTTTGATCTGAATGTTCTGAGACCAAGTCTGATGCAGTTCTGCTGGACTGTGAATCAAATCTGAAAGTTTGGAATGTTTTATCAATTCCTCGCATCTTCATTATCCCCTACTCTACGCACTCTATATACTCTATATACTCTATATACTCTATATACTCTATATACTCTATATACTCTATATACTCTATATACTCTATATACTCTATATACTCTATATACTCTATATACTCTATACTATCCTCCTTCTTGTCCTCCCTATTCCTCCAAAAGATTCACGAAATCAAATCAAATCCCTCCTCTCACAATCAAAATTGCAACCAAACATCACTTACTCACTCACTCACTCACTCACTATATTATCATTTATTTCCTAACACCTTCTACCACATGCACACCTTCTACTACCACCTTTCACACAACTAACCAACTAACTAACTTTCCTTCCTTTCTTCCTTCCTTCCTCCCTCTCTTCCCCCATTCTCCATATACAAATAAATGTCCCCATTTTCCCTCTTGCTTTAAGCCTCCTTCTATCAACAAACTCAAAAATAACAAAAGGGAAGAAAGGGAGTTGATGACTTGAGGACGTGAAGATCCAATACCAAGGAGGAGGAAATAAGATGAGATGAGATGAGATGAGATGGCCAGAGCCAAAGAATAAGATAGATAACGGAGAAAGCGAAAATGAGCACGAGAATAGAATTGATGAGTACATTGTTGATCTACTTTCTACTTGTTCCCTGGATATTTTGCAATCGGGGTCAAAGAAGGTGTTCGTGGAGTGCGACTGCAGGTCTCTGATGCAGTATGTAGATGCATGAGATGCATGCAAGATGTTTAGGTGATTACGAGGTTTGTGTTCTTTCAGTCTATTCTGGATACACATCACAATTGAAATGTATTGAGCTTTATCTATAAATCAAGTTCACCCTCACATCCACTCATGACAGACGTACGAACAAACGGCAAGATCTTTTATAAGGCTTGAAAATAAAGTCAAATATTAGTACATCCATTCGACCAATCTATATTCATATATAAGTGTTCTAGTCTCTCCACGTTACACCCCTCGATTCATTCAGCTATTTCCCCATCTCATCATCCCACTGCCCCCTAATTCTTTCTCCCATCAACATTTCCCTTACATTCATCCTCGCACTCCAAACCACATTTTCCGTGACCCCCTTTTCCCTCACCTCCCCATTCGCACTACCCACCTTTTGAATATCCGAATCTCCACCTATCCAACCTCTCGCTTTATGATGTTGAAAAAGCCCCGGTGTAACACTTATACATTTCATTCCCAATCTCTTCGAATCCCGTCCCCATCTACACAATCCCGCTAATGCATTATCGAATGGTCCTGCTAATTTATCTACACTTAAATCCCACAGTACCTTTCTCGCACCTTGTTGACTCAAAGCATATGCGAAGGTACAGATAGGACCACCACTTGTGTGAACCCATCGTGTGTAGGGGGTTTGAGTTGCATTCTGGAACCCTTTGAAATGAATCGGAGGTGCGACAGTGGGATCGGAAGTTATGATATATTTGCGAGAGAGATGTGCGATTTCAGGAGAGGAGGGAGAAAGCGATTTATATTCGTCGAGAGTTTCAGGGAAGACTTCACCGCAATGACCAAGCCAGAGTAAATCCCAGTCATCGCCATAGGGAGAAACAAGATTCGAGGGTATAGTGGAGGAATATTGAATGAATTTGGAACCGGCTGCGAAGGTAAGGAGTTGAGATTTTAAACGGGTATCCCAGTCCATGTCATCTTCGAATATCAGTGCGCTCGTCAGATTTTGTTCGACAATTCTAAGTGTTCAGGATGCGCATTAGCTTGTATACTAGATAGAAAGAAGTGAATGTCAATGAGCAAAAGCATACTTCCGAACAGCGTTCATGTGCCCCCGCCAACTTCCCAAATTTGACTCCCATAACTTCACTCTATCAGCACCATATGGTACAGCTTTATCAGAAACCGCTTCCCCCTTCACTCCATCTACCCATTTAATATTGAACCCTGTCAAACTACTAATCAAAGTGAGAGCATCTCTCTTATCACTTCGTTCCGGTAAGCTCACTGCAAAAATCTTTTGAAACCCAAGTGTGCTGTTTAAAATATCGGAGGATCCATGAACCGGTCCAACTGGTCTATATTTTTGAAGAAGGTCGGATGAATAGTGTGTTAAGTAGGCAGGCGTGGATGTATTGAGGAAGACGATGAAGAGGAGAATGCCGATACAAAGAACAGTGAAGGGAAAAGCGCGAATGTGTATCATTGTGGCGATTGAAAAAATCGATTGGGCGAAAAAGAATCGAGTGTAAGTAAGTCATGAAATGTTGAAGGAGAGAACGCGGCGCACCAGGGAGTCGTAACCACAGCACGATGATTTATTTCATGTTCAAAATCAGAACTTGGACAATCAAGCGAAGTATGCGCTAGACTTTTGGATTTAAATGGAATGAAAATAAAACTGAGGTGGTGCAATCTCAAGTACTAAATAAACTTCAAACGAGGAGATGCACCTTCCCGTCATGGCATTTCAAGGTTGAAAGCGAATTTCCATGACTTTCGAACCACGCTTCTTCGGGAAAAATGAAAGTTGAATAAAGAAGGAAAAGATTAAAACATATCACACTTTCGAGACATTGACCTTGTCTACTAAACTTCGTATCATATCTGTTGTGGCTCCCAAAAGCTCCGTTCATTCTCTAGATCCTCAACTTCTCGCGATCGTGCTTTCAAACTTCATTTGATATCTCGGGATCTCATCCCAAGTATGCGGAAAGATACATGCTGTACTTTGGTTACGGTGACACACATTATCCACATCCACACACTATCAGCCGTGAAGCAGTGCAATGCTACATTCTGCCTTTATTTCGTATCGAGTGTTTAGACAGTACTTTTGACTTAAGAACTGTGAGATACCGGAGGGAGACACATCACAGTTTTAGTTTTTTCCTCCCTTACGACGATCCTCTCATCTGTCTGGTAGGGTACATCATTGACAACTCTAATACACCATTGGATGGCTAGACGCAATGCGTTGTAATAACCGCGGGTATGTGGCAGTGACAGATCTGCTATCCATGTTAAAGCATACTTGAAAGTGTACCTAGCTTGTACCCAAGCTGCAAAGCTCCCTGAGATTTCACCACTGACAAAGGGTAAACGAGCCGCTGACCTCGTGACACGCCAACGTCGAGCTTGAGTGTGAATCAACTAACTTGATGAAAATGCGGCAGAAGCTTGGGGCAGGAACTCAGAAAGACTGCGGTTGATGATCACGAATTGAACCGGCACATTCCAACATAATAAAGATGGCGATGTGGGAACGGGATTTTACTAGCGTAACGTATTTTACGCCTATTTGAGTAAGGTCGACGCGCTGTTGATGCTCGTAATCCTTCCAGGTTCTGTACCGGTACCGACAACCCCTGTGAACTAAATATAACCTTGCTGTGATGGAGCACTTCGTACGTCGTGCGCAGAATGAGAGTTGTCGTTGACAATCAATCTGGGAAAGAATAAGGTAGAATTCGAATGTATTGGAGGAATCAATTGATGTGTTGAATATCGGCTTCTATCAATGAAATCCTGGTTATTTCTTCTGTTATCAAGTGTTATCAAGTGTGTACTCGAGCAGAAAGAATTAGAGTCTGATATCTCTCTTGGGGGCCGTCCATGCCCCTCTATCGTCGGATATCGTAAGATCGGCAACGAGAGCCCACTCAATGCAACCCTAAATCGATCCTCGTACATAAACATGGGCGCCATTTTTCTTTAGGATTTTCCTGGCATGCTGGCATGAATCAATCTTGATGGATACAAGTAAGGATACCAACCAACCAACAAACGCGACTAGATGTGAATAATTTCTCAACTTTTTATATATATATATGATTTTTCGAGTCTATTCTAGAGGGAAGCTACTCAAGTAAAGAGTAATAGATGAGTGGTGTTGGAATGGGATAATCATCCTCGCAACAACAACAATAACAATAATAAATCCATCTGGAAAATCCGGTCCGCAGCATTCGCATTACCTACGTCACAGCCTCGAGCCTTATCCGCAAAGGGAAACACATGATTTAAACTTCTACATCGGACATATCAGTTATCGATTGCGAACGACCAGAGACACACGAGACCTCATAATATCAACAACTGTACCATTATTCTTGATAAAGTACTCTCTAATACAATTTTTTTACCAACGACGATATTAATGAACCATCGCAAGAACGAGAAACTTTGTCATGATGCGAAGCAAGCAATCTTCATCGCTGCAAAAGACATACGATGAGTGTTATTTAATATGTTCGACGGCTGTATATTTCGAAGGGCAGGTTAGTAAAGACATGCATCTCCATTCGGAGACATTTGACGTTTGGAAGAGAAAGTACTGATGACTTGATTTTTATGCAGGGTAATGAGACAGAAGCTTTAAGATCATGGCGGTCGGCTCTCGATCAAATCTATTATCATAATGCATATCGAGTTCCCGCAGGCTATACACCCAAATCAGAAACCGAAAAGGCGTTGAAGGATAGTCTGAGGTCGATGGAAATGCAATGCAAAGAGCGTGTCGATTTACTAGAAGCGCTAAAAGTCTCGCGGGAAGAGAAGAACAACGGAGAAAAGACACCACCAGGAGAAACTAGCAGCGGCAGTGGCAGTGGAAGGCTCAAGTCATTTTTGAAGTCTTCGCGCGCTTCCTCGGATTCTCAACGCCCTTCTACCACAAGTATGAGTAACACAATCGGCGAGGGTACAATTCCCGCGGTCAATTACGATGGTCTTCCAAAACCGACCCCGCCTCCGTTACCCCAACGACCTTCGATGGCTCCCAAAAATAGCTCAGAGATGGCGGTTGTTGGCGGTGGTAGAAGTGTGTCAAGTTCTTCGATTGCATTACCAACAGCATCATCGAGGCCGCCCGCTCCAACATCTCATCCATCAGTCCCTGCACCACAACATAAAATGTCGAAAGAATCAAGAAGTCCTAGCCCCGAAAAAGGAGGAAGAACAATGCTTCAAACTTTAAGATCTGGCGATTCCAAGAAGAGTAAAAGCTCTCGGTCAAACAAAAAGAAAGATGAGAATCCTATAACGAATAAAGCTGCTACCCTGGCATGGAATACAATGGGTAGAAAGGGGAAAGACAAGGACAAATTGGGCCGTTCGCAAGATCCGGAGACTGACAGTAGCACGACCAACTTACCTGGTGAGAAGCCCAGCTTTTCAGATCCGTTCAAAGGGAAGCCAGTGCCTCCGAATCCAGTCCGATTTGATAGCACAACAAGAACTCTAGTACCAGACGTACGACCACCGCGAAAATCACCACCAGATTTATTGACAGGCTTGAACGGCTTGGTCGGGGCTACAGGTCAATCAAATGGATATCCTTTTCCTCCAACAGATCCAGGTCAACCAGGTGCCGTTGCTGGACATTCCTTTACCACTGCCACCATGAAAGACATGATTGGACTTGATTCTCCACTTATACCGCAACCTGTTGAGCCTAATTTCGGCCCATCGTCACAACCACGACCAGCCGAACCTTCTGCTACCACGTTCTCACAGCTCAAGAAGGGACCTCCGCCACCTCCACCTCACTCAAGACCACCAGGTAAATTTGAACCATTAAAATACCCGACTTACCTCCAAGAGTATCCTGATACAATTGCCAAGAAAGGCAACCCAGACAACCTACCGGTACCTCAACGTAGGAGACCAGCTCCCAGAGTAGATTCGAACGCCGATCTTTCAACCTCATCAAATCGCTTGCAAAGGAAACCTGTATCTGCAAACACTTCCTCACCAAGACGTGTAGATGATAACAAAAAGTCACGAGGGAAGGAACTTAGGCGAGTACACGGAGATGATACTTCGTCTCAGAGTGCGAATGATGATACCAGTAACGAAGAATTGCGAACTCGGCCTAAAAGAAAGCAAAAACAGGTGGTATCGCCAATACTTGTCGACCCTACAACCCCAACGTCTGAAGAGTCTAATGACTCTGCCACGGATAGGGTCAAGAGTGCATGGGATGAGAAAGTTAAACATCTCATGAAGAATTTGCCGAAAGGAGTTGATGAAGGCGCTGCTAAACAGATTTTTAATGAGATTGTAGTTCAAGGTGATGAGGTACATTGGGAGGATGTTGCTGGTCTGGATGTTGCTAAGAATGCGCTCAAAGAAGCCGTTGTTTATCCTTTCCTACGACCGGATCTGTTTATGGGCCTTCGCGAACCAGCTCGTGGTATGTTGTTATTTGGCCCCCAGGTACTGGTAAAACTATGTTAGCAAGAGCGGTCGCCACCGAGTCGAAGTCTACTTTCTTCTCCATCTCAGCTAGTAGTTTGACAAGCAAGTTCTTGGGTGAGTCTGAAAAACTTGTCCGAGCATTGTTTTCTCTTGCAAAAGCACTGGCACCAAGTATCATTTTCGTTGATGAAATCGACTCTCTTCTTTCTGCACGATCTGGAGGAGAGCACGAAGCCACAAGGCGTATTAAGACCGAATTTCTTATTCAGTGGAGTGATTTACAGAGAGCTGCAGCTGGTAGGGAACAAACAGACAAGGAGAAGGAAAGGGGGGATGCTAGTCGAGTACTAGTACTTGCTGCAACAAATTTGCCTTGGGCAATTGACGAAGCTGCAAGACGAAGATTCGTGAGAAGGCAGTATATTCCTTTACCTGAGGATGACACCAGAGCCAAGCAACTACATACTTTGTTGGGACATCAAAAGCATGGGTTGAAAGAACATGACATTGATCAGTTGGTCAAACTGACCGATGGTAAGGTTTGTTAAGTTCGTTGTTGAATATTTCTAACAATATATAGGATTTTCGGGATCTGACATTACGGCATTGGCTAAAGATGCCGCTATGGGACCTCTACGATCTCTCGGAGAAAAGCTTTTGGAAATGACCATGGATGATATTCGACCAATGCAAATTGAAGACTTCCAAGCTAGTTTGGTCAATATTAGACCAAGTGTAAGCAAACAAGGACTACAAGAATTCGAGGATTGGGCAAGGGAGTTTGGTGAACGTGGAGGTTAAGGTCAAGGTCAAGGTCAAGGCAATAATGGAATGGCATGTGTATATGTATATGACTTAGTGTATCAATATTTTAGCTTTTGGATGGTTTGGGGCTCGGTATACAATAGGGTCCATGGGTTTAAGGAATCCGGGGAGGTGCATGGAAATGTTCTTGGTAACTGGAGTGCATAGGTGGGATCGGGAGTTCAGCGTCTCAAGCATGGAGTCCTGCGTGATAAAAGCTGAGTCAATTGCCATTATGCAACATACCTTAACGTACTCAATAGAAACATTACTTGATGCGTTCATTCCCCATGTCATTCTTTATACATGATATTTATGATACAATCCCATCTTCATACACTTCCTGTACACGGATATGTGATACACCTTGAACGCCAAATTTTGCATATGCACCCATATCCCCATCCATTTTCCTTTCCACTACCTACACAAGCCTTACTTCCTCCCCATTCCCATTTGCCGTTTCTTCCGCTTGAATCACCTCTTCCTTTCCCTTCTTTCCCTCAGCAAACCCCTCCACAAACCACTCACTCCCCTCTATCCCCCTCGGATCCCGCTCAAACCCCCAGCGACTCCAACTCCCCTTCCGAATATGCTTTGCCATTAATTTGCGCTCGCGCTCCGCAATGCGTTCTTCGGCGGTAGGAATCGGAGGACGCTCGGAGATAGGGCGCCCAAACGGTGCGATGATGGAGGAGACAACGTGGTGCACGGTTTTGGAGGTGCGGTGTCCGGGGGTGATGGTTATGATGTCGCCGGTTGTGAGGGAGGAGCGGGGGTCGTGGACTAGGAGGTGCGTTTTGGAGTTGAATTTCTGGGGAGAGGAGAGGGGGGTTAGTCGATTGATTTTGGGGAGAAAGAGAGGGGGAGGGGATGGGAAAGAGGGAGTAGGGAGGAGGGGGGAAAGAGGGGGAGAGAAATACCTTTTGCAAATGCTCATTCCATACTTGCGTTCCGATTCTTACTTTTACGGTTTTTTCCATGAGACCGCTCGATACGACGACGGCGTTTATTTGCCGCGAGGCGTGGGTAGCTGCTTTGACTGCTTTTTGGATGGGCATCTTGTGGGTTTGGGGGGGGGGATTCTTTGAGATATTCGGATAGCTCGATTGATCGATTGTACTGTATAATTAATTATAATTTTGAGAGGGGAAGGTGAGTTTTTCCGGTTCCGAGGAAGGGTTGGGGGTGATTGGTTGGAGGTTGGTGGGTATTTTTGTTTGATGCACCCTTGTACGTAAGGTTACTGGAATTGAGACTGTGGCTGTGAGGCTGTCTTGCACAGCCATAATTGTGGCGTTGCTTTCATGAATGGAGTGGAACCTCCATTGTAGGTTAATATTAGACATGACGTTTCTGCTTTATTATTGTAGAGTACACTTTTGTTATACAAAAGGAGAGAGTAATCTATGCTATGGGTTTTACGATATCATTTCCAACACGGGGATAGATATAGGTTACTGATGGTTAACTTATGTTAAAAAATGGTAGTTATGTAAACAAATAGTTCGTCTAATCTTCATCTCCACCGTGACATGAAGAAGAAGAAGCAGCAGAAGCATGCTTTCTCTCGTTTCGCAAGAGCATATTTGAGAAGGCTTGAAGATTTATGACTGTTATAATATCTTATATGTGCGTAGTTTTGAAATATTTTAATGGTTCAGTATGTACTCTAAAGGTTGGGTACATCACAATACTCATTTGATATGAAACTTCGTTTTCTTTCTATCTGGTCTGCCTCCACGGCAGTGGCCCCCGGAGGGCCAGCGGAGCGTCATTCATCTCAAAATTTCAAAATCAAGTTTCCAGTGATTGCTCAGGAAATGAATTCCCAGAAAATAAATGAACAAACACATGAATTGTGAGAGTAAGAGTGAGAGTGAGTCAAAAGTAAAACAGGATTTCAGTTCTTCAAAATTCCAAACTTTTCTTTGAACATCAACTTCAAGGTTCACATTGAATACAACAAAGTGATAGGATGATGATGGCCTTAGTTTTTAGACATCCTCGCTTACAGGACGAGGCTGTGAACCTATACGGCTTGAAGTTGCCTATCACAACCATCATGTTCTTTTTGCCTTGTGATACTAAAAAAATATAAGAAACAGTTTCCCCTTCTCTTTGAGATTTACATTTCAATACCACCTTCTTTTGATAGTTAGCACATCATCTTTTTTGAGCTTAGGGATAGGGCTTAAAGACACACGTTATTGATTGCAAACGAAGACAACAGGATGTTTATGTTAAGAAATGGTATGTAAATAAATAATAGTCCGCCCCTCCACTTTACCCCTCATTCGATCTTCATTCAAGCTTTTTATAAGCAAATCGCAAACTAAACATACAACTGCCTTTGCGAACAACATCTAACATATACAACAGTCGGTAAATTGATCTTTGGTGATACATCCAAAGAATCTTTGATCGAGCTACCCCAAGGCCAACTTTATCTCGTTCGACCCCTATCACCCAAAGGATATTCCGAACTTATATTCCGTGACGCAGCTGCGAGGATCAGAAGAACAGGGCAAGATTTTCAATATCAGCTCGTGATTCAAAGAGCCTACGAAGAAGGCGAGGAAGAATTGTTGGACGACGAGGCTGCGGACGACGAAGACGGCACTGCAGCTTTGACTGGGGAACGCGACGAGAAAACATTCCTCCTAGACGAAAGTCTACATTTCCGATCGGAAATTCGCGAAGGCGGTGAAAAAGTCCTTGCTTGGAGAGATTTGAGCGGTGACGCGGGCGATTTATATGAATTTGTTTGCGACGTTTCGATAGAGAATAGTCAGGTTCAATCATTTGAACTTACAGCTGTTCATTGTCAGTTTGAGAGAAAATTCAGGAGAAAATATTTAACTGCGACCGAGGAGGAGCTGAGTCAATTTGCCTTCGAAGAGGAAGACCCAATTCCGCATGCTAGTCCACCTACAAGCCCTATAAGTTTGAGTCCTCTACAATCGTTCCCAGCTATCGATCAGGCAGTTACTAGAAGTACGGCAAATTCTGCATTAAAGGAAACTATGAGTCCTGTTACGAGAGGATCAAGGGCGCCGCCTAGAAGTCCATCACCGGTTGAAAAGAGCCCAACGAAGGCACCGGCTGTTGCTAAACACCCTGAGGCCATCTCGGTGTTGGCAGAGGAAACCGCCGAATTACATTTATTCGACTTCATTTCTGGAACATTTTTGAAGCAAGATGATGAGGTTACAGCAACTGTTACCGAGGTTGGAAAATGGCAATATTGGTTACAACTTAGCAGCAAGGATAGAGACTGGTTGGGGCAAGCTGTAATTGCGGATATTAATCCAGTTTTCAATTTCGAATACCTCTCCTTCATTTTCAACGCCTACACAGCCGATCATCAAGCTTATTCATGGCTTCTTCGATTTAAAGATCAAGAGACAGTTACAAGGTTCCAGGAAGGTTTGATGCAAGCTTTGTGGGAACAATTGAATGAAATCAAGTGGAACAGCAGTAAGGAGGATGAGAGAGAATATGTTCTTGGGGCATTCCAGGATCTTACTATGGAGGATGCCCCGGATTTCGTCGAGGGTGAAGAGGAAGAAGAGGAAGGGAAAGAAGAAGAGGAAGATCAAGACGATGGACAAAGAAGCGAACATTACGACTCTGATGAGGAAGATGATGATGTTGTCACCAAAGACGATGACGGAAATGTCAATTCACAACTTGCGGTTGGATACAAACACGACCGATCATTTGTCGTCAGAGGATCTAAGATTGGTGTCTTCAAACATACACCTAATAACAACCTGGAATTCTCGACCAACATTTCAAAAGTCCAAGCGCCAAATGGCAAACTCTTTAATCCAAAGAAAGTTATGCTTCACGCTGAGGATACGAACATGATTCTCCAAGATGGAAATAACCCAAATTCGCTTTATAGAATGGATTTGGAGTATGGAAAGATTGTTGATGAATGGAAAGTTCATGATGATATTCCTGTCAACACATTTGCGCCCGAAAGCAAATTCTCTCAAATGACAGGAGAGCAAACATTCCTTGGTCTTTCTCGAAATGCTCTTTATCGCATCGATCCTCGTCTTGCAGGCAACAAACTTGTCGACTCTGAACTCAAACAATACGTTTCTAAGAATGATTTCTCCGCTGCCGCTACCACAGAAAAAGGATACATCGCCGTCGCTAGTAACAAGGGTGACATTCGTATGTTCGATCGTCTTGGCATCAAGGCAAAGACTCACATTCCAGCTCTTGGTGAACCTATCATTGGTCTAGATGTTAGTGCTGATGGCCGTTGGGTTTTGGCTACTTGTCGTACTTATCTTCTTCTCATTGATGCCCTTCAAAAAGATGGTAAGGATGAAGGCAAACTCGGATTTGAAAAATCATTCGGTAAAGACTCGAAACCTCAACCTCGTCGTCTGGGTCTCACACCAGCTCACGTTGCCCAATTCCAACATGAAACTGGTGTTCCTCTTTCTTTCACTCCAGCTCGTTTCAATACCGGAGAGGGGCTTACCGAAACATCTATCATTACCGCTACTGGTCCTTTCATCGTAACGTGGAATATGAAGAAGATCTTGAGGGGCAGCAAGGATACTTATAGTATTAAGCGTTATGCTGAAGAAGTCAAGGCGGATAACTTCAAATACGGTAGTGATAAGAATGTTATTGTGGCATTGCCAAATGAAGTGAATATGGTAGCGAAGCAAACCTTCAAGAAGCCAACAAGAGAAAGTATTGCTACGCCACATAAGGTTGGATGGAGCAATGGTAGAAGAGATAGTGCGAGAATTGGAGGTAGCAATAGTGGAAGATACAAGTTGGGGAGAGAAGATGTGGTTAACAGTCCTTATTAAGCGATTGTCTTGCGGATTTTGAGCTGGGGCAAATGAATGGATGGTTTAATGCTAAGATGGAGCGTGGGGAGTTTTCAAGGCTTTTTGTGTTCTTTTTCTTCTGGGATGAGGTTTTTTTTGAGTAGGTTGCTTTTATTAGCTTGCTTGCTTGTTTGCCTACTCTTTGCGTTTTGGGCGATGAATTTGATTCAAAGTGCGTTGAGTTTCATGATCGTCTTCTGACAATCGGTCTCGAGAGCAGTTTGGTGGGCAGAACGGGACAGATGATTCAGGACGAATAACAGGAAGAAATACCATGGGTATTCATACTTTTGAAAAGTATGATGGTGCAGCTGGAATGTCAGCGAAGAAGGCACACCAGATGTTATTTAGTATGCGGAGTTGGTAGCTAGCTTACAGTAGTTGGGAAGTACAGAAATGAATTAGTATTACTATTGTTTGGGGTTTGTTATTGTTGCACTTGTGTATTGAAGGACTCTGTCTAGGTGTGTGTTGATTGTGTCTGCAGAGTGTGATCAGGAATGGGCGATGAAAAATAACTGGGCAATATCTACATTTTGAAAGGTCTATCTGTGACTTCTATATCAGGAAAGTTTAATAGTTACATAGCATAGTATAGTATATCTCAACGCTCTCTTCTCCGCAAACTCCCAACTCCAACCTAAAATCATATCAAGATACTCACCGCCGTCCTCTCGGGCGCCAACACCCGATACAAAACCGTCCGATCATCCACCCCCAACGCAATCTCATTGACCGTCCCCTCCAACGCAACCAACTCCTCGTAAAACCTCCCCGCCACCTCCTCCGTCTCCCCCACCCCATCACTCTCCCCCGCCACCCCGCGCACACTCAACGCATACTCCAATAGCGACTGATCATCCGCGACAACACTACTCAGCAGATATGGGAGATGCGAGGCCAAGAGCCAAGAGCGCGGTTCGCGCACGGGGAGAGAATTAATCAGGCTTTCCTCCGTGTAGGATTTTAATTCCTGCAGGGAAGAGGGGAGAGGAGCGAAGAGGGCGGAGGGCTTGTTCGGGATGAAGGCTTGGTAGTAGTCCTGCAGATAATTGACCGCAGTGTGTTGGGTGCTGGCGATGTGGATACACATTGTTACTGCGTCTGTGAGTTGGTCGAAAGTGGTAATTGTAGGGAACGAAGCGATATCTGCGCCCTTTTCGCTTTGGATCTCGCGACACCAGTCTTGGAGATGCGTGTCGGAAGAGACGGCGGAGTCGGAGGGGTACGAAGGTCGCAGCATGCCGGAGACGAAACGTCGGAGGATGTACCAGATGTGTTTCATGTTGCGCGCATACGCATAGTTGTGAAATTTGGGGGCGTCGAGTTCGGCGAGGGGAAACCCGCGGGAGGCCAGATCGTGCGGGATGTAGCTACCGACGAAATCGAAGGTTTCGTATTGCGTGCACACCATTTGGAGACTGCCTTTTGAGGGGAGCCCGTCGATGTTCACGATGACTTGGGGAATGAGACTTGCTCTTGCGGCGGCGTTGAGGGGGAGGGTCTTGAGCCAGTGGGGGGCGAGGAGTCGGAAGACGGGGTGGCTTTCGGGGAGGTGCCGGTGCGAGGAGATGATGATTCCTTCTTCGATGAGATGCGTGTGGGTGAGATGGGAACCAAGTTCGTGGGCGTGCCAGTCGGATACTTGGGCGCATTGTTTTGCGTAGCGCCAGGGCCAATCGGTTGCTTCGTGGGTTTTGGGGGATGTAGGGGAAGTACGGTTGTTGAAGAGAGTGAGGGAATCGGTAATATTGGTACGGTAGTCTAGGATTATTGCAAGTGGGTGGAGAGTACCGTTTGGGAGGAGACTATTTGGGTTAGTACGATTTTATTTTATGATGGTACGAAAGTTAGTGCGAAGTAAGTGAGATGACGGTTAGCCCCACGTAACTTTCTTCATCCTTGCGGAACGGCGCGGCTTGGGCTGACTGCAGGGCTGAAGACTTCCCAGCTTATGTACGTAGGGGATACGAATAATTTTCGTACTTTGTCCAATCAAGATTGATTATGCAAAATGACGGCGCTTACGAGATGAAGCTTACAACTTATAGCTTGCTCTCGTGCTCGTGCTCGTGCTCAACATACTCCGTGAAGAGATGGAGAAGTAGATACGCAACTCGACGTAGTAGAATGAAACGAAACAAAATACAAAAAACAAGCAAGTCAAAGAAGAAAAACTCAACACTTACTGGAAAAGACTAACACTCGCACACCCAAACCTCTTTCCATCATCACTCTTCAAATCCTCCCCCTGTGCCACCCCCGCAAACTTACGAAAATAGCTACAATCCTGCACATACAATCCTCCCTGCCTCTCCGCCTCCTCAATGACCCTCAAACTATCTCTTTTCTCTTGCGCACTAGCCGCTGCCTTGAACCTTTGAATCCATTCTTTCTCTGCCTTTCTAATCGTCACCGGATTTACCCCCGTGAATTGTTGTTGCGCATACACTTCATCACTATACCAATCTTTTCGCGTCCCTATATTGGCTACTTTTCCAATATCCCTTCTTTCATCAAAGAGTTTTTGATTAACACTTTCGATGAGAGCGAATGTGCGTTGATTTGGTTCATCGTAGGCGAAATCGAGAAATTTTTCAGGAATCACTTTTTGCACTATGGGTGCTGTAGCAAAGAGTCGCTCTGGTTGAAAGATTTTGAGAGAGTGAAGAAAATCAACTTTTGGCTCAAGACTTAGATGAGGGGGGTATCCGTCCGAACCGGGAGTTTGGAATTGAAAGCGTTCTTTCTTCTCTTCAAGGGAGATGGGGGTGGTAGGAAGATGAGATTCTAATTGATGAACGTCGAAGAAAGAGGCGAATCTATCATTGATCAGTTACTTGACTCTTGACAATGTGTGTTGGAGAAATCATACGATTTGTTGACTAAAGTGTAAACATCTGAAACTGCTTTCTTGGTCCCGATATATGTACCCGTAGCGAATTTAGCTTTACCAGAATCTTCTTTCAATTTGTTGTGATCATGTTCTCCGGCGAAAATAGAATGAGCAAGAAGTTCTGCCTTGAGAACTCCATGATTCCATTCGATAGGTAAGCGTCTAGGCGGCGGAGCTTCATGTTGTCCATGATGTAGTATATTTTCAACTTTCTGAAATATGCCCGACATGTTGAACAAATTAATGAGGATCCGAACGAGCAAATTGAAGATGAATGTAAACATTCGTGGGAGAGACAGAGAGAGTATGAGGCGATTTTAAATCGACGTCTTGTATCATAAGAAATGACAAGGTGCAACAGAAGAAATAATTGTATATTGCACAGAGATATAAACCAAAACTAATTGGAATTTTCACCTCTAACGAACGAGGGAAGAGAGGGAATTATGTAGTAAAATCATGGCAGTGCATTGATGTTGCTCGGTGTGAAGAGTGGTGGCTCCAGGGCTGACTTATCTAAAATATTACATGTTGGGGTCCTAGAATGGGATAACAGTCAGCAAATAACTCAGCTGAAGCCCCAGTTCCATAACGGCTTAATATCAGGCTGATGCAAGTTCGAAAATGCGCAGACATATCAAATGGTGTCCGAGTATCTTATTGTGGGTGTCAACAACCAAGTATGCCAAGATTCCACATAGCTCAAGTAACAAAAATTTGCTCATGGACTTCCTCATTGAGTAACACAAAAAGTTTCATTACTTGCTATAATTTTCATTTCCGCTGTAGAGCTTTCGTATAACCATTCGCTAATTTCATCAAAGTTATTGCTAAGAATATGAGAGGTGAAAGAAGTCATGCTAGGTCGATTTCTCGAGTTTCCTAGATTACTCCTTCGCCAGTGTTGTCAGTGGCGTTTCAACCTTCTTGTAAATCGCCAATAACTCCTCGCTGAAATCATCCAACATAATAAGTCGAAATTGCTTTCCCCATCGACTTTGGAACGACCGTTTTTTATATTCATGGTTCAAACCACTGCTCCAAGCCACCAGTTCAACGTTCCATCCTTTCAGAAGCGCTCTCTCTACATTCTTAAAAAATCCTCCCGAGTATTCGGCCTCAGCCCCATCTCCCGTTCCCAAGACAATGGTTGACGGTTTTGAGTAATCGGCCAAAGTTTCGAGCATTTTCATATGTAAAATTTCATCAACGCCCTGTTCGACAAATCCAGGTTTCGTAGATTGTGATGAGATGGGAGTTTCAGATTTACTCGATTGTCCTGTAAGGTATCCATTTCCTTGTCCTCCTCGCACTTTTTCGGTTGTGTGCTCCCTTATTTTAAACACCCTATCCAGAACATTGGTTTCGTAACCACACATCTCAGCCTCGTCAAAATGAGGTGCTGAGTCTCTGTTATTTGATCTGGATCCAACCAAGATTCGTTTAGCGACAGGCCGATTCCTCTCCAGAATTGATGCTAGTGAACAATATGAGAAAGGTGGACTTTCAACCATCTTTTCACTCTCAGGAAATCGTCGTGCGCTTTTTAAAGTGTTCTTAAATCCAATTATAATATTGCTGAAATCAACAAATACATGTATGGGTTCCTTATTTGAAGACCTGACTGCTATGTCGAGCCTCAATTGATTTAACAGCTTTTTAGCAATCCTGATGCTCTTTTCTTCGCGAGTCAAATCGTGAAGAGGATATATGACGCCCTTTTTGAGGACCGTATTCTTATTTTCGAGGGTATTAAAGACAACAGGGCCATTGCTGAAGTGTTTTGCAGATTTCATTCGTGAAGGTGTTTCAACCTCTGATTCAAGTCCGCTACTCTCATTCTCATCCGTCCATGTATCAGACAATTCCTGCCTCCGTGTCTGTTTGTGTAGTCTCGGTAATTGAATATTGAAAAGACGATCTGCAGGAAAGGGAGATCTGACATCTGTTTTCGTTTGAGAAATTTGCCTTATCGACGTCTCTTCCGGGAAAGATATCAAGTCTTCCCTGGCCTTTGCTCCTGTCCCCCGCTGTTGTAGTTTCGCAAATTTCATACCTTGAGCCTTATCTTTCCGTCGTACCGTTCTTGTTTTCGTAACATAGTCTTGGTAGATATCCGGAATATCTGAATCATCCGTCGCAGAAGATGGCAGACTATTGAGGTCAGAAAAGAGCCCTTCAGAAGTATAAGAAGATGGTGCTGACTCATTTGGTTCAGCATCAGGATCTTGACAAGTCGTCGTAGCATCGACACCCAGGTGATCCCATATTGGAGTGAAATCACCTAAGGTACGTGCACTTCTGTCTGTGGATGAGGGCTCATTTTCGGGTAGAAAATAGTAAGAATATGGCAAATCGCTGTTTAAAGTCGAAGCAGAAAGAAGATTGTGAAGCTCGATGGCACAAGTCAGGTCCCATGGCTGGGATGTATGGGATTCGGTCATGTAATTGATGTGAGGATCGACCTAGCAAAAGTTGCTCAAGCCGAAGAAGTTATCTTAAGTGTAGTTTCTGATATGATATTGAGACTACGAGGAGAGTTGGGGTTAGTGATCTGATCTGATAGCTCTGACAAGAAGTATAGTGGCAAAATAGCAGTTGCCGTTGCGTATAACTTACAATGAACTGGAAAATGATGTTTGCAAGTATAAACATACTTCCCGCTGTAGATTTTGATGTTGCCGTTGTTATTTATTATGGAACAAGAACGGATGATACCAAGTTGAACTTAAATGAAGGTAAATAGAAATAGACTACTGGGTATGTATTTGCAATGCGGTAGATGGAGGCGGTTTCTTCTTCAAGAGGTCGAATTCGGATAGATGAACCTTGAACGATTCACCTGAACATCCACCTACCGAGCCTACCTGCGCCTTATTGGCAACCAATTGCATTGCATTGTTGAAAGGCTGTACCGTACTAGTGTTGTTGGTGGCACGGACAGTATGGCAGCAGCAGACCCGCGTGGCAAAGATCTGGACTGAAACCCGAATCTCCAATGCTTACCTAATATTCTATATTTGAAATTGAATCACGTGGGAAAGTCAACATGTACAATCGGATAAACACCTGGGCAATTGATGTTGTAGTCAAAATACCTACTTGTTACATGCGATGTAGATTGTGTGTATAAAATTGTAACAATACGCCTCTTTTCATTTCCTTCATATTCATCTCCATCTCTTTTGCTATGAAGCGTTCCTCGATTCCCCGTCAAGAGCTGAAATACCTTCAGGCTATGTTGATCAGGCTTTCTAGTGGAAACCAACATCTCTCGTATTCGTATATTTGCAATTGAACGAATATGCCTTACCATGTCTCCAATCATGCATGTAGACAATCCAGATATTGACAGATACCCTTCCCATGGCAAATCATTCTATTGCCATCATCATCCCAAGGCTTATGGACTATAATCATGATCAAAGTTGGTTTTGAATTATTGAGGCTATGTCAAGAGAAACCTTCGTTCTGCATCTCGAAATAATCAATTCCGTGTTTAATAAATCCTTCAAGCAGGGAAATCACTACTGTCATCTTGTCCTTTTTCATTGCCAATTCTTCCACTGTATATCCCAAACCCAAAGTCCATTTCATTAACCTCATCATAATCCATCATTATCATCAGACATCACAATCATCAATTTTGTGTTCTCCCTTCCTTCCAAAGCACAGCTCTCGCGTCTTTCAAGTACTATCTCTCATCTTTTTTGCCAATCCCGATTCCAAACCATGACAAGAAGTTTTCCTTCTTCGTATCGGGAGAGACGGATGAAGAAGTCGAGGGACTACCGAAGATACTAGATCTACGTCTCTCTCGCGGAGTATAAATCACCTCGGATGGTTTGCCTATATGTTTATGACTGTTAGATGAATTTATTGAAATGCTATTCTGTCCAAGCGGACGAGGAAAACCAAAGATCACTCACGGATGTTCCCCGCTCCACCAATGCCATATGATCTGCGTCGTTCGCCCTGTACATCTTTTGTTGCCGATCCAAACGATTCTCCAAAGATATTGTTGGTTCCGTCAGCAGAAGAGGGAAACTTTGATGCCATTGTTATCGACTTTCCCTTTTCTGGTAGTGATCTTTTCGTTGAAGGAGCAGGTCCTGATGTCACTGCAAGTAGATAATAACTTCCAAACTCCCTATTTAAATTATTTTCCTCGGTTTTTGTGCCTTTCGAGTGATTTGACACGTGCCAATTTTGGCCAATTGAAGATCGACGTGATCCTTGATAAGTTTGAATAGGTTCGACGATGTTATGATCTGAAGGAATAAGAAGTTGTTCACGAGAAGTATTTTCTGCACGATATATCGTATACGAGGTTCGTCCTGAAATCTTTAATGGCAATCTTGACTTAATTCTTGAGCGCTCTTTGGAATCAGATCTCGAACATGAAAAAGATGATGACAAGAAAACAAAGGCTGAGAGAGACACCATATCTATATCTATGTTCGTATCTACGCCAGATCTGTGGGGGTAAGTTAGGCAAATGATAGACAGAAGGGATGAGAGGAAACGAGAAACCAGATTGGTTGCAATACATGGCACACCGAATATATACATCATCTGGTACTTGATTTCTCTGGAGACAATCGCCCACATAATAAGAATCATACTTATGTGGAGATATCCTAACGGGTTTTCATAGGGTATCCAAAATGTGAATATCTTAATTGAGCCACGAGATACATTACCAGTATGACGTTACATGATCGCAAATCGCATGTATGGAAGCACTTTGTCTGTTTTGGATATCACAGACATATCTAACGGTTCATTGCAAGAAAAATACACACTGATTGGCCCATCAACAAAAGCCAATTCCCTTCCCTAGTTGTCACTGGATAGATTGCAAATTACCAACGGCAGCGAGCCATCTACCGTATATGCATGAAGCCATGTGAAATGGGCATTGGCAGGGGTGAGAGGAGAGACGAATGTCATATAACAAACGGCACCAGGGTTCTTGGGAAACACAAGCTTTGTGGGGCGCCGCGCACACAGGCCATACGAGGCATCCAACGTTATCTTTATCCATGTCCAGATCTGCAACAAGTTACCAACCTGGAAACCCCGCAAACAAGCTTTTGCGGGGTATCGACTTAGGTATGTCATGATATCAAACACGATATCTTGTCCTTTCCAACTGGTTCATTTGTTTTGACGAAACCTTTTTCGTTAGACCTATATATTTTGACTTTGGTCAATCGTTTGCAATCAGGATTTTACATATGATCAAAAATTAATGCCGATTTCCGTTCGCCTACCACCAGAAGGCCAAGTTTATATCCACTATGTCACAAAAACGTTGCAAAAATTACGAATGTCTTAAATTCCAATATTTCATTGCCCTATCCTCTCTATCTATCTTCCTGCAATCTAATCTCCAATCCATCTACAGTGTTACATTCACTTCACTCCAAGGAGCATTGCATTAAGTGTACAGTGACACCCGTCAAAATGTCCAAACCCGTTTATCGCGCTTCTACGCATGTTTTATGCGGACTGGGCGCAACTATCCGTTGAGTCGGATTGGTCGAGTCTTATATTCTGTGTTACGTTGTGTAGCGCTTTGCGTTACAGATGGATTCTTATGCGAGTTGATCTTTTTGGGGGGGGTTGTGCGTGAGTCTGAATGTGACAATGATGTAGGCGGGCAAGAGGAGGTGCAGGAAATCTGGGTATTCTGGGTGCTGTGAAAGATGTCAAGTGTGCAGTGATGTATGTCTGATTATGGCATGTCATGTAAGGTCTTAGTCTTATGTCAGGTCTCATACGAGGTCTTATGTAAGATTGAGTTGTGCTTGAAGTATCGAACATCATTCGAGGCACGTGTAAAGGTTTTATGTGAGAGTTATGAAGCTTGGAGACCGAGTGGTCTTTGAAAATTGGAATGGAATCTAGAATTTAGGACGGAACTTCGAAGACACAATGTGTAAAGATTCGAGGAGAGTAAGGGGTTAGCATCTTGTTATTTCTGTGTGACGCTGTAGTTGGCGGGAGAGGATTTGCGACAACCTCATACATTTCCTCTTATTTTCGGACCGATATGCGAGGTGCCTGTGCTAATTTATCAAGGCTCGGGAGTCTACTTTCAAAATCGGCTACGGTGAGGTGTTCATTTTAGGATCTGAGACGGCTATTTTTCAGGAACTTGTTTGCGCTAGTGACTTTCTCCCGTGCTAGTAAGTTGAATATGTCCTTTCAGAACGATGCTATTGATTTAGGAGAGTAGCTGGCGTCAAGCAACTCTGATCCTTGTAATCAATGGAAGTTGAGGAGCCGGCGACGGTTTTACGCAAATTTCCCAAAAGACGCGCGATGATATGGCTATTTCTCAAAATATTAATACAAGCACTCGGGCTAGAAAAGCGTGTTATCTGTTCGATTGATAATATGAGAGAGAATATACGAAGTAACGTACTGCGAGGAAGATAAAAAGGAGCCCCATTATTTGTCACCGCTCACAGCAACAGACATACACTGTAGTCTGGTTTTTGTATGTGGCAAGATAGATAATTCAATGAAAACAAAACTACGTTGCTGATATCGCGGATGGACTGTGAAGATTTTGTGATGATCACTCAGCAGTCGAGAATTGAAAGGTGACTATCGTGATTGTGCCACCAACATGCAAATACCAACTGCATGAGATGTTAAATTAGTACGATTGGCTATCTACAAGTAGAAAACTTTAAATGGAATTCGATCAGAGACTGAGTTACTTTTCATTCCTCTGACGACAATAAATATCATCGTCGCCATCGCCGTCGTCATTGTCGTAATCCATTCTCTGCAATGTTTCACATCATTCTATCCATATTTGTGGGGGCTTCGGCTCTTCTACTGTATGCCATTACCAACCGACAAATTGCAAGAACCAAAACCGCACGACAATACAACTGTGATATTCCGTTCACTTATCCCCACCTCGATCCAATATTTGGAATTGACCTGAAACTGCAAGAGATTCAACAATCTCTACGCCATCAGACCATCACTTACTCTGCAAATCTCCACAAAAAATATGGAAAGACATTTGAAGTCATCAACTTTGGTACTTCCTCATTGAGAAGTATAGATACGGAAAACATCCAAGCAGTCTATTCTACAAATCATGATGATTGGGGATATGAGCCATCGAGACTATCTGTCATGGGGCCTTTTTGTGGTCGTGGTTTCATCACTATAGATGGATACATGGCAAAAAGCTAGAGCTCTCCTACGTCCAACTTTCGGCAAGTAAAATATCTGGGATCTATCTTCATACAAAGTAGCTTTTGAACAGTTTCTTCGAAATATTCCAGATGATGGCTGTAATACTGCTGATTTACAACCTTAGTTAGCAAATCTCGTAAGTGTTGCATTTCCAAAGAGATGCTATTTGAAGAAATACTAATGATACTAGTATTTAGAAACATCCTTGAAATTTCTGGTAGTTATTTCCCCAAATTCCAATAATGAAGATGGAACGAAGAAAGCAACAGAGTTTATTAAAGCTTTCAACGCATCATGATCGGAATGGGACTCTCATTTATGATAGGTCCTTTCAAATTTATGATTCCAAAATCACTCACAACTTTTGCTCACAAGCAAGTGTACAAATATATCGATACATTCGTTGATAAAGCGTCAGAAAAGACACTGGAAGAGTCTACCTACAAGGGCAATTCAAATGTGCCAATGCAAAAGAGTCTTCTAGAAGGTCTGGCTAAGCAGACTGATGATCGCATAGAGATTCGTCAGAATGTTATCCAGGGAATGATGGCAGCGCAAGGTACCACATAAGTTTTAATCAGCAACACATTACACCTTCTTTCGCGTGATCCGGATCTTCATAAGAGGCTTCGAGACGAGGTACATGATTTGGACCTCGGGGCGTCTTCTCAATTGTTTGATCTACTACGAGATCACGTTTTCCTCCAAAACATTCTGCGTGAATGTAAGTTGAAACGTCCTACGAGATTCTAAAATAAAAAGTACGTGCTAATGAATCAACTCTATAGCTCTTCGCATATACCCCGTATTCCCAACCATGAACCACATTGCTCTCCGCGATACAATACTACCAAAAGGTGGAGGTACAAACGGAGAATCTCCAATCTTCGCACCTACAGGTACAACGATATATACAAACCAGTATGCTTTACATCGTGACGAGAAAGTTTTCGGAAGCGATGTTGAATCCTTCAAACCAGATCGATGGGATTCCGTCAATTGCAAACCAACTCCCTGGAAATACATGCCATTTGGTGGCGGACCACGGGCTTGTGTCGGTCCACAAAAAGCGCTGGTAGAGGCGGCGTATACGGTGGCGAAGATTGCACAGGTGTATAAGGGATTGAAGAGTCGTGACAATAGAGACTGGGAGGGCGAGTGGAAGTTGACGGCTAAGAATGTGAATGGATGTAAAGTTGTATGTACCCCAGCATGAATCGCTTTACTTAATTGGTAGAACTTTTGTCAATTTAATCATCGTACCATCTATCTTCTCCAAAGTCTTGGATAATAAACGGAGAAGACTTCAGATATACTTCTTTGGTGCTTCAACAACATAATCAATCTACCGAGAGGAATTGTTTTCTTGCACCCTACCATCACCAATCTCGCTGCTTTCCACCCTCATTGGTGAGAGTACATCGGCTACAACACAACAACACTGTTGCCCCAGTCAGCCGAATCGACATTTATATAACATGTCAATCCAGGAACCAAAGTAAATGTTCAGGCAGTTACTCACCACACTCTTCAAACAAAACCATTCAGTATAAACAGTCATTCTATCACAACACAAGCTCGTAGACTTGATTCGTGTCATGGTTTAGCCCAATACATGGACCAATTAAGTTCCGATAAATTAACCCGCCACGGTTAGCTTCGTGGCGCGGTTCATTGAGCTAAACTTCTTGGGTTAGTGATCGCGCCACTTAGCTTCGTCGTACACTTTAGCTTTATTGTAGCAGTTAGCTTCATAGCCCGCGATATCCCCTTAATCACATCAGCACCTGTGACAAACACAATGAATGGCAACAGCACAAAGAAAAACTGTCATGAAGCAGATACTTAAAGTGTGTTACTACTTTGATATGAAGCAGATATCTATAATTGCATCTGGGTTGAGGTCCCAAGGGTGTTCTCCTCAACTCCTCTTCTAATCAAGAACAGCTTTGTCAAAGATGTCCTGGAGACTCTCATCTCATATCCATACCCATTGTTTAGGAAGACTAAAATCGATGCAGAGTATGTATAACCGATTTTTCTCCAAGGGAAGGATTGGTGTCACTTCTTTCGTTTTCACAAGTCATTCCTATTTTCTTATTTCTCTCTGAACCCCTTCCCGGCGCCTGATCCATATCGTTACTGCAGGCTAAGCAGCATGTCTTATCGCTTCCTCTAAGTTCTGATGTCGATTGCGAATTCTCCAACACGATGACAAGGTTCAGCGATCGTCATATAGGCTCATCCCGAAGACTAAGTCATGCATTTGTTCCATTCCCTTTCCTTCAAATAATGATGACGTCGCCCGTCTAAATCTTCCTTCGCTAGAGCCACTCAAAGATCGTGCTGACATCGTCTAACTCGATAATATCATAATCTCAGCTATGGGAGTTACTATTCCGGAACTAACTATCGCTGCAGGATACTGCCTTGATTCTGAACCTCTAGATACCACATGTAACGCCCATTACGTGGCAATACTTGCATTCATTGAGAAACACATACGAATTTCGAATAAAGAAACGAACTACCAAGTACGTAAGACCTTCAACGAAGTATCAAGTCTCAAGGACTACATGGAGCGAGATGAGAGTTTCATTGCAGCCTCAATTAGTATCAGTATATGGATTTGGGAAAATTTTACAAAGCGAAAGAGTTTATTAGGGGGGTTGGTTTCCCGCGTCGTTACCCCCTCGTGTAGATCCGCAACTCCATCGTTGCTCACGCAACTACGATAGAGATAGCTATCATGTCATCATCGAAACCACGAAACTCGTGATATGATAGCAATGTTACTTATGAATAAGAAACGACGCAGGTTTGTGACATCAATAAAGAGGGGTAGTCACCTTCATGCAATCAATTACTCAGTTACAAACAGGGGAATAGCCAGCGATGCAAACTCTAACTGGCGCCAACAACTATCGTAGTCTAGAGTGGTACTAATAAAGTAAGTCGTGGCATTTGTGCAATAGCTGAAAGGTAGCTACATGATATATATCGTATAAGCCAAGATCAGAGCAGCGGCAGCTTAACAGGATAAATAGGGTAGTATGCAGGTACTCGCGAGTCATAACGATCATACCAGAATGAAGAACATAATGTTTCATGAATGAGCAGCGATAGGGCAGAATTGCCCGAAACGTTTCAGTGGTCTTCTAGAACAGAGTAGTAGCGTGCGGGGAAAGTTTTTGACGGATCCGCATATAGCCACTTGCATTAGTGTCACCATGTCAATCACGTTACATGCATTATTAGCATTGCATATCAGCTTTGATATCGCAATGTAGCTGAAGATAGATCGCGAGTCATTTAACAGAATGATACAATCTAGAAGAAAGATCCCCGGAGAGTACTACTGCACGATGCCAAAATCATATTTCCTTTGAGTAAAAACGTGGCGAAATGGGTGGTTTGCAGTACGTGGGGTTGAACTGAGGGTTTCATTGACATGCAGAGTTTTCGATCTGCAACTTCGCAGATGTCTTCATGGCTGGCTGATAGAGGTGTCTAGTGTGGCCTGTCATCTACCCCAACGGTGCAGAAATGCCGACTGCCACTTGGTACAATGTTGAAGCGTCATATCACGATTTTTCCAACCCATCGTCTTACCCATCCAGAGCTATATAAACGCCAGAATCCCTCCGATCAAATCCAATTCTCTAAACTCAAACTCAAACCATCTTCAAACAAACACCACTCTACAAATCCTCCGCAACTTCCACTGCTAGGTAAGATCTTTCCTTCTTGGACCGATATCTTAACTGACATCCAAGGTCTAGTTATCAACTTTCGATCTTCCCAACCAATTTCAAACGAGTCCTCATCAACTACCTCCAAGTAAGCTGCGATAAATCACACATCGACTACTAAACCTTACTAACATCTCCATAGAAAAATGGGTGCCAACACCATTACAATAACCAACAACTCCACCGCTGACGTTTATGTCAGTGTCACATATGACGGAAACGACTTCCAAAAGGGCGGAAGCGAGGTCTGGTATCCTCTTACAGCCAATGGAGGAACCGACACCTGGAATTACCGGGCCGAGAATCAAATCGCCAGAGTCGCTAGAAGCAAGACTGCTGGGACAGTAATTGAGTCTTTCCTTGCTGTACCAGGGAAAACCATCTACATCTACTAATTGTAGACTACTGGTGGCAGGTTTTCGCTTCCTCTGATGGAATGAGAGCCCAGTAGTGTCACACCTACTATTGAAAGAAATGGTTCATCACAGTAACTTAGCTATATGGCAGATTGAATGAATATAGCAACATAACCCAACAATAATGGCCTTTTCGAAGACTTTAGATTGTGACTCTGAATTTTGAATGTCAATTCCGATATAAATACAAATGAAAAAAAAAGATTATTTAACAAATTGAGATCACGAACCAAGTGTGTAAGTATTTCAGCTTCGAAAGGTCTCTAAACGCACGAAATAGCTGGATAGGCAAAGTCAAGTCCCTAAATACTTAAATGACCTTGCATATCATATACAATGTATTTCAGATTCCAGAGATATCCTTGGCTCAATGATTCAAGACTTCTCGCACCAAGTAGCATAGAGTAAACGTGTGCAAAAGGTCAAAAAAAACAGTATACTTAAAAGAAGACTATCGAGTCAAGTACAAAACAATTGGGGCGGCGAAGTAATTTGTAAATGAATACTCGCGAATGCTAACATCATAATGCAACCTGGCCAGCCGTTTTCCTTTCCAAAACCTCTACTTTACTTGCTTATGATTTCATGATATTTCATAACCAAAATGATGATCACGGTATATGTACAACTAGTACTTGCATTCACTTCATGCATCTCCCAACCTTATCATATCTCAATTATTTTACCCTTCATTGTCATTTCATCAAATCACCTCTCAATCTCAGCCAATTTTTCCCTCGGTGGTAGTGCTTCTGGTCCAAAAGATAATGGTAGGAGCTAGATGTACCGAATCGCATTAGTATATCAAACGTACTTTTTGATCACAGATACAATCTCCAGTAAAAGCGTGTATTAGGAGGGAGTGAGTCGGATAAACAAAAGTAGCACATACCTCTCCTAACCTCGCAACCATAAAATCCCCATTCTTGTCAAACATAAAAATTGGCATATCCAGCTCGCAGAATTCACGGATACTATATTTTCCCACAAATGTTAGCAGTTTCTCTTAATCCAGTATCTCTCATCAAGCCCAAAATTCCTAATTCCCAGCTCTGAGCTCTGAGCCTCCAGCTCCCATCATCCCATCCCATCATCCCATCCCTACATCCCTCCCCATTTCCCAACCCCCATCCATATCCACACCTCTCAACATCCAAAACCAAACCCAAAAACGCAAACAAAAACCAAGCACACTCACAACTGTCTACACATCCCACACGGACTCGCCGGCGGACTAATATCCGTCGCCACCCCAATCGCCCGAAACCCTCTCTGCCCCTCCGTAATCGCCTTCCCAAACGCAACTCTCTCCGCACAGGTTCCCACCGGATACGCTGCATTTTCTACATTCGCGCCATCGATATATGCTCCCTCGTTTGTGAGAATCGTAGACCCGACGCGGAAATTCGAATACGGACAGTAGCGGTGGATTTCGCGGATGCGCTACGCGATTGGAGGGTGTGGATTTGTTCGCTGGTTAGGGAGTAGGTTTCGCTGGCGAAGGATACGTCGGATGGGTCGTTGCCGCGGAGTAGTTTTGGTTCGGGGAAGGCCATTTTGTGAGTTTGTGTGTGTTTTGCTGTGAGAGGTGTGGAAGGAAGGGAGGATGTTAACACGTTGAAATGAAAGTTGAGTTGTGAGTAGAGATAGATATGGATATATATTGTGAGGTCATTTCGCGATATGTAATGATAACGATAAAGGGAAGGTGTTTAAGCTCCCCCGCTCTATTACCTAACGTTTAATTCACGCCAATAGATACACAATTATATATAAGATGTATCTATTAAATTCAAAAGTATCTAATTCACATCATTACATCAACTATAGAATTCTCCTCTTGAATCTATTGTCCTTCAAATTTATTCGTAATATTACAGACTTGCTCCCAGACACAAAAAGAACCCCGCTACCCCTCCAATTCGATCACAGATATACCTAGGATCGATACTGGGTTGTGTTAGCATGTGAGATACACTTCTGATAGTTTCCCTTCTGACCAAACTCTGGGATGATCAACTAAATTTCCTGATTACAAGAGTGTTCAAACTTAAGATTCACTTTGTCGATAGATAACCCAAAGAGGGCCACTATTCTCGAGAGGTCAAAGATTCTACGAGTACAAAAGGTATTTTACAAGCGTGTTCATCTCATTTGTCCTTGCCCATTCCTCATAAATTTACACCACTGTCACAAAAGATAGGAAGGGGAAGAGAGAGGGGAGGAGGGGATGAGAGCAACTAGATGGTAAGTCATGTCATATAAAGATAGTACAGGTCTACATAACTTCATAGCTTCATGGCTTAACAAGCTCTAAAATAGGTCGGGGGGCATATCATCATTTTCCTCCCACTCTCGTATTCCACTATCTACTGTGTATCCCTCCTCTCTCTTCCCTTCCCCTCCTCATTGATTTATCCATTCGTTCCACTATACACTGTGGATCTCAATCCATCCCCTCCCGACATATAGAACACCGAGTTTCACTAACAAACTCACAAACTCACCATCTCATCTACGCCCATCTACTCCCATCAACCCCAAGAGCAACGCCTCTTCCTTCCCCCTTCCTCCTCTATAACTCAACATCAACACCAAACCCAAGCAAGCAAACCCAAATCCAATCACAAACCTTCAAACCAACACGGAATCTCTACATTCCATTTCCTCTCTATCCCTTCAGATACCACCATCCCATCCCATCCCATCCCATCCCATCATATCCTCACCACCCCCTAAGTCTATCCCCGCAACTCTCAGATCTTACAATCTAATCCCAATTCAAAACCCATTCATCGTCATGATATGATATAGAAGCTTTTCAGATTCTTCCCTGCATCTCCTTTCCCCTTCTTCAATTTTCAAAATCCTACTAGTAACTACATACTAATAACAATCATAAGCGAGCAAAATCAACATTTTAGTTTTATTTTTACTTTCAAATATCATTTTCATTTTACTCTTCTCTGCCACTTCTTCCATCCACTATTCTCATTTCAATAAATCACCTATCTACATTCCCCATTCGCACTATCCTAATGCACTGTATTCCCATAACGTTGACCGTAGACCGAAGACAGGACAGAAACTGAAGCAATAGCTCCGCTCAGTCCATCTCAGCCCACTGCCTCACAAAATTCCCCGCCTCCAAGATCTCAACATCCCAAACATTCTTTGCACCAATTTAATCCTTGGTGACTTGAATAGGAGTTACTGCGTATGTAGGTCTGACGTATCTATAATGTCAAATTTATTAGCATAATTCTCTTACTCTTTCACTTGCCCTTTTCCTTCTCTATTCCTTTTTATCCCTAGCCCTCTTCCTAAGCAAATAAACAGAACAACATACCTATCACTGTTATATGGACTAGTCTCGCTACCCAACAATTCCTTTTCTCTCTTCAAATCTGCCCAATGTCTTCTGACAAGGTCACGATCGGTTTCCGCTGTCAAAAGTGGAATCAAATGGATTCTAGACCACATTTTTTCACGGGCAAGTTCACTGTTTACTATTTGTTAGTGGATTATCCATTCGAATCGTCTAGCGAGGAAAAAAAAGGTGTCCTGATATTTGAATGTGTAATTCAACGTGATATCCAGGCTCTCCAGACGTTATTTCTGAATCACCCAAGATATATCATGGATTCCATCAAAACCCTCAGGAGTAAAACCTTCCACCGATATACTCTTAGACATAAATCCCCCCTCAATCCTCAACACCCCAAAACAAATAAAAAGAAAACAATACATACTTCTGTTCCCGAATTCCCTTTCCTACTTTCCAGAATCCATATGTCATAACTCCAGCCATAGCCAAAAGCATAACCGAGGGTCTGAAACCGCGTGCTGGAAGATTTCTCTATGATTTTCAAACATAAAACATTAGCTTGCTGTTTTTTTGAACTCTGAGTGCTTTTTTTCTTTCTCTTTTCCACCCCAAAATCTCTTCTCTTCTGCCCCTCCGTTCATCTGACTATGTAAACATCTGACTATCTATATCGGATCCGTGGAAGATGAGGACGAGGACGAGGACGAGGACAAAGAAGTAGCGTGACATGCGTGTGGAGATCAATCGTCGTATATCGTTGTTTGAAAATCTCGCAGTCTCATAATGAATGACGCCCCGCTGGCCATCTGGGGGCCACTGCCGTGGAGGCCAACTATTTGGTTAATACCATCCCATCAAACCACCTCTTCTTTTACCACTCTCCCTCCTTCCCTATGCACCACACCCAGCACCTCATTTCCATTGACAGATATCAAACATCGAACATTAATTCTCTACCCCTCCATTAACCCCCAATCTCCAAAGTCCACAAACCCATCACGCCTACCCCTCCATTGTACCTGACCGCACATTCTCCGCCTGCAATCATTTTTCAATCATTCCCATTCCAAACCGTCCCATCCAATCTCCTCATTTATCATCACCCAAGCTCCAGCTCTCACTCCCCAATCCCGACGATCAATACACAACCCCCAATATCATCTATCGAACACAGCAGCACATCCCAACACACCACCATCCATAATTCAGTCCGCACTCTACTCCGCACTCCCCCTGACAATATTCCAATACATAGCAGTCGCGATCCCGGCAGTATTCTTTTTCAATTTCGATTTACTTTTCGTTTCGTCCTCATCCTCGTCGTGGTCGTAATCGTGTCCAATGTCATGCTCGTCTCATTCCAGTTCCTCTCCATTGCAGCTAAACGACCCCCTCCTTTTTCCACCTCATCCTCTTCCGCACAACATATCATCAATCCCATCCCATTGCAATCCATCTCTCTCCATCTCCCCCGCTTCTCGATGCCCCATTTCCTCTCCCCCCCTTTCCTTTCCTCAATCTTTGATCCCCAAACCTCCCTTCCCAGTTCCCCTCATTCTCTACCACAAAATCAAAGAAACGAAAAAGAAAATTCCACCACACACCTTATACTGCACGGCTTCATACCCGCCCTTTGGCGGCATATCCTGAGGCATATTTGCTGATTTCTCTTCCCTCAAACTATTACGTTTTTTTCTCAATCTCCTTTCTTCTATCCCGTGGTCGCGAAGTCACAAGATAGGATACAGAATATGGCGTAATTGAGTTGTTTGTAATGTTCAATGTGGTGTGGTATGCTCTCGAGATTGAATGTTATCGCTCAATCAAGCTCTAATTTATTCATGCCTTGAATTACAGGCTTGTAGTTTGTAGCCCTCCCGAGATCCACACTTGCACAACTGACTTGGTCTGAGCGTTCGTAACCAATAAACATCAAGGTTTTACTATGCTCGAGTACCTACGTATAGTATAATACATCAATCCTCATCATCGTCCTCAAATACAAATCTCTCGTAATCATCTCATCATAAAACTCATCTCAATCTCAATCTCATAGACTCAATAATTCTTCAATCTTCGAATAACGCCCAACTAATGCACAAAACCAATCCCATCCCGTCCCTTCCCGCCAAACCCCCATCCCAATTCCAGATCTCCCAACCCCAATTCCCAACCATGCCATTCCTATTCACCCAATTTCCCAGATTCCATCCACAAAACACCTTAAAAGCAATAAATGAACCACGCTTCAAAATGATATGATGGCAGACACAAGAGTTCTCGTTTCCTCGTAAGTGCAATTCCTTCCCTCATGCTAACAGCAAGGTCTCTTGATAAAGTTCGACCCAAGGTGCAATGCAATGCAAATAGCAAAATCAACCGCTAGCAGCAGCCGCTTCTTCCTCCAATTCCAGATCAAAAGCAGCCTGCATTTCGGCTTCCAGATCATCTTCAAAACTATGGTCACTTTCCTCCGCCATAACTTGATTAACCTCGTCATTTTCATCACCCGTTACCCCCGGGGTAAGAAGACTCGATTCTGTTGTACTGTTTGGCGTTTTTACAGTTTTCAGGCCCGTTGTTCTTGAATTAGCTACTCGCTGCTTTTTTGCCATAGTACTTTCTTCTTCACTTTCATCTTCATCCGTCGCATCGTCGAATCTTCGTTTATGTCCTCTTCGTGAACTTGTACGCGATGTTCGACTGTTGTTGCTGTTATTACTGGTGAAACTTGTGTCGCTTTCTGTACCGGATTCATCATCACCCATGAATTCGGCTAATTCGTCATCTATTGATGACCAATTGAGATCCATCGTTGGAGAGATGTCACCTCGTGGTTCATCCGGCATGACACCTTCTCCATCTAGCTCAGATTTTGTATCGTCATCTTCAAAATCTGAGCTCTCGGTGTAGTCTGAAGATTCCTCACTATCTTCACCAGGAGATGGAACATTAGTCAAATCGCCACTTTGTCTCCTATCAGCTGGATTTATTTCCACCTAATGGATATATTAATATTGCCCATAAGAAAATAATGGAGAGTTCAACCTACCAAATACTCTGATTCATCTTCCTTTTCCCACTTGCTCATCGAATGAGTCAACCATTGTTGTGTGACTATCTTGATGTGAGGATATTTTGCCGCTTCTCGAACTTTTTGTGTACGAGTTTTCTGTGACGAAGCCACGACATGAGTCACTCTCTTTGAAACCCTATAATTTGTCAGTGAATCATCTACAAGACATCATCATAGTACATACTTTTTATGAATTTTGCCACCGAAGCTTTCTATCTGCTGAGCAATTTCAGATCTGAGTTTGATTAGCATGGATTTTCCCTTGACCCTTTCTAACCCCCATACGCTAGAGAATATACACAATAAAGTTTCTTGCGAAATAGAATCATGGGTGGTATCAACTAACCTCATAAGGTCAACTCCCAACGGAACTAAACCCGACATTACTATTACACATCCATCTAAGACTCGAGACCTAAGGGGTTGTTAGCAAAACCGTCCTGGGTGGCATCTCTTTTGGGGAGGGTAATCCATACTTGAGACGTGGCATCACAACTGCGATATTGGGTACCACTTTGAGATCGGCAGCTTCATTCTTGACGTTAACCTTTCTTTGATGTCCAGGTTTTAGTTGTGCAACTCGTCCACCTGGGACATTGACCAAAGCTTTATCGTATTCTTCATAGAAAGCTCTGTGCAAATCCGTAAGATGTTGTTGAAGATAAGTCAGTTCCACGTCGTCATCTTTAAGAACACTGTGTCGATGCGTGTGATGTTCAACTGTGCCATCCTCAACCGACTTTTCTGCTTCTTCCTGTTTTTTGTCGGCTTCGTCAAGTTCTTCTTGTTTATGAAGTAATGGTCGATCCCTTAATTGTTGCTCCAAGAATTTCTCTTGCTCCGCTGCTTGTTCAAGTAACGAAGCGTCATCGTCTAACGTGTTAAGTTTCGGTAGAATTGGTTTCTCAGTTGCTGGTTCCTCCTTGGTTTCTTCGGCAGATTTGGTTTCGCCTCCTTCAGGTTCTGTAGGCTTTGCAACTTCTCCAATAGGTGTTTCGACCGTCTCAAGTGTGTTGGTCTCCGGCTTTAAGTGATGTTTCTTTTTAGGTGTTGATATTTTAGGAAGCTCTTCTCTTTTCGGTAGGAAACTCGAATTAATATCCCCAATACCAGTGAAGAAATCATAAGGAACAACCTTGATAAGGTTAGGACGATTCATTGGCCAAACGTCTGCGCGATCATCAATAATTGCCACCATATGCGTGCTCTGAGGGAATAATCTAGCCAGACTCTTTGCCGTGACGTTGCCGTTCTCGTCTCGACTGATGATACGATCACCAAATAATTTCTTTCCAGGGTCGACGATCTTTGCAATATTTAATGCGTATGCTCGAGTACCCATAGTATAAACATGTAGCTCATACATTTCGGAGACTTTTGCGAGAAACTCCGCAAGTCCAGGGCGCATTTTAATGTAATACCAACAACCGGATGCGAGACCGCGAGGGCCATCGTCATTGAGTTGGAAGGATCGCACATCTTTGACGGCCTCGTAATTTGGTGAATTGACATCGCGTTGCCATTCTCCAACAGTAGGTTCAATACAAGCATGGATAATGGTCTGATCCAGATCCACCACCAACGAAAGTTTTCGATTCTTAAGTAGCCGCCGTTGCAATTCTTCTTCTGCTTTCGAAGCCTCGTCAAGACTAACTGTGAGGTGTGTTTGGTCGTGGATCATATTGATTCTAGCTCGGTCTGTATCGAGCGTACTGGTGGCCCAAGAGACCTCGGTCATATCTTTTCCACACATCCCACAAAGTCCCGCAAACTGGACAGCATGCGAACAACTTTCTTCAACATCGACAACAGGTCCATCGCTCTCAACTGTCATACCTTCTTTGACTAACCATTTCTCAATAGTACCGTCAGAAGGGCTATCCCATGCCCCATACGATGTTTGTTCTTCTTCCCATTGTTCGCCCAATGGATCACCAACCATGAGCTTCCAATGATATTTATATTCGAGGAGTGAGTCCCGTTTCGAAATCTGATCGCCATGTTTCTTGAATAACTTGGTGATTGTAATTGGGTACCTTAAATTCGGACCCAAATTTAATGTCTTTCCCATTTTGATATCCTCCTTCGCAAAGCTGTCGTTGGATGTGTGATCATGCGATCCCGGGTGGGTCGGTTCTATTTGTTGGAAGATGAATCGTCAGTAACTGAGCTCGAAATGGTAAAGGAGTAGAATGCGCGCGCAGATGAAAGAAAGCTTGATGAGAAGTTGAATCGCATATCGCAAATCGCATATGACAAGAAGCAAGCCACAGCACCCTGTGAAAGGCCGTCGCAAAGCGCAATACAATTCCAGGACAATTCGCAGAAGCTTAAAGCAAGCTTCCAGGATAGACACAATAGATATCTACAAGCTGTTGAAAGACCTACGAATTCAATTTAAGCTCCTTGAAAGCTCTCA